TGTCCTTTTTCCTCCTCTCTAACTCTCCTCATTTCTTTCCTCCTTCCCACCTTCTTCCCTCCCCCCCCCTTTTTATCAACCTTCCCGCTTTCCCTTCATACCTTGCCTGGATTTCACGTCCTTGCCTTTCATTCTTTCTTACACTCGTTTGATCGCCTCTTTTCTTTTTCTTTCTTTCCCTTCACTTTCTCTCTTCTCTAAACTCTTGTCACTCTCTTGACTCTACCTACCTGTAATTACTCCCCTCTCCCTACTCTCTCTCCCCTCCCTTCAATATCCCGACTAATCCACCTCCACCAACCACCCCCCTTTTCCTTCTCCATTTGCCTTATGCCCTTTGGGATACCTCCCCACTTATCCCTTTTCAGCTAATAACTGGTCTTCATCCGTGATAGTCTTTTTTTTTTTCTGCCGACTCCGCATCTTGTCTTCCTCTTCCTCCCTGGTTCGTGGTCCTGAATCGTTGTATGGCCCTCGTATATACGTGATCAGACCGGACTTTGGAAGCTTAAGGACTTGAGCTGCAGGTGAGTCTCCGTACTGTTGCTTTGCTCTATCTCGAACATCTCCCACTTGAACCTCTTGTTTGTCTTCAATGTGGACTCCACTTCACCTGTCCATTGCATCTTTCTCACATTCGCGTCCTCATTCATCTTTATCCCTGAAGCTCCCATCCAGTGAACATTGCCATTGACATTGGGCTCTTTGCCTTTAGATTCGTCTCTAGTCAGACCTTTCTCTTCGTTGTCGCCGGCTCTCCTTTTCTTTCCAACCGCCTCTCCTCCCCTTCTTCGCCCCTCAATACCCGTATTTAGGGAAATATCAGCAACATCAGCACTGGAAAACTCGTCCCCTGAATGGTGTGCTGAACGTCGATCTCCTTCCCCCTAACAACCCGCTCCAAGTCGAGTTCTCCATCCGGACAACGCTCCCTCGGTTACATTCCCAGAGACGACTTGAACTCTCCAACAAGACGTTCACCTCGTCATGCAAAACTCGGATGCATCGAGCATCCCGAACGGCGCGCGTTTCATTCCCCACAAATACAACAACCTAAACGGCGACACCGGATTCTCCCACGGCGCTTACCACTCCAATACCCCTAATCAAGGTTTCTCGAATCGTAACAACCGTCGAGCTAATATCCCTGCTATAAATACTGCCGCCGCCGGCCATTCCGCTGACATGGCTTCCGGAGCCGGGTTCGACATGAACTTCACTCCCCTCCTCCCCTCCCAGCTGCTCGTGGGCAGCCCCTTCCAGCCTGGTACCCCCTCAGCCTTTGCCTCGCCACAATTCGCCAACTTTGGCGGTTTCCCTCAAGGTAATGGCAATGGACACGCGCAGAATCACCAAACCCATCAACTCGGAAGCCCGACCCAAGGAATGCAGAACCACGGTCTGTACCTGTCGACCGACGGTTTGGGCGCGTCCCAGCTAATGGGCGGCCCCCAGTCCCCGATCAGTGCTTTGCATCACGCGAGTCTCGGAAACGCGGCTCTCGGCAGTCCTGCCGCCTCGGTCGCGCCAGGCTTGCTCTCCGGCACCAGTCGCACAGTTTACTTGGGAAATATTCCGGCCGAAACAAGCGCGGAGGAAATCCTCAACCATGTGCGCAGCGGGCAAATCGAGTCCGTCCGTCTGCTCCCCGATAAGAACTGTGCCTTCATTTCTTTCCTCGACAGCAGCTCCGCTACACACTTCCACTCCGATGCCATCTTGAAGAAGCTGGCCATCAAGGGCAATGACATCAAGGTCGGTTGGGGTAAGCCTTCCCAGGTCCCGACCTCGGTGGCTCTGGCGGTGCAGCAGTCGGGCGCATCGCGCAATGTTTACCTGGGTAACTTGCCTGAGGAGACCACGGAGGACAACCTCCGGGAGGAACTGGGCAAGTTTGGACCTATTGACACTGTCAAGATTGTCAAGGAAAAGGCAATTGGATTTGTGCACTTCCTTTCCGTCAGTAACGCGATGAAGGCGGTCACCCAGTTGCCCCAGGAGCCTCAATGGCAGGCTCCCAAGCGTGTTTTCTACGGCAAGGACCGCTGTGCTTACGTCTCCAAGACCCAGCAGCAGAATGCCGCGCAGTTCCTGGGCATCGCCCCGGGCTACGCGCACGTCTTGAACTCGGCAGACCGCGACTTGATCTCGAATGCGCTCGCTCAGCAGTCGGTCGCTGCGGCCGCCGTGGCTACGACTGCTGGTGGTGTGAACAACCTTGGCAATCGAACCATCTATCTTGGAAACATTCACCCCGAGACTACGATTGAGGAGATTTGCAACGTTGTGCGTGGTGGTCTGCTACACCACATCCGTTATATCCCTGACAAGCACATTTGCTTCGTCACTTTCATCGACCCTACCTCCGCCGCCTCCTTCTATGCTCTGAGCAACCTGCAGGGACTCATGATCCACAACCGTCGTCTGAAGATCGGCTGGGGTAAGCACTCGGGCCCCCTCCCGCCTGCCATCGCCCTGGCCGTCAGCGGTGGTGCGTCCCGTAATGTCTACATCGGTAACCTGGACGAAACCTGGACCGAGGAGCGCCTGCGCCAGGACTTCTCCGAATACGGTGAGATCGAGCTGGTCAACACCCTGCGCGAGAAGAGCTGCGCTTTTGTCAACTTCACCAACATTGCCAATGCCATCAAGGCCATTGAGGGTATGCGCAACCGTGAAGAATACCGCCGCTTCAAGATCAACTTTGGCAAGGATCGCTGTGGTAACCCCCCACGCCAGGCCGGCAACCAGGGCAACTCACAGCAGAACCGCAACGGTGGCGGCATTGATGGTCCTCAGTCGCCCTCTCCGGCCCTGAACGGCTTCCACCAGAACCTGAGCCAGAACGGCTCGCAGTCCAGCCCAACACGACCTGCTCTCTCTCCGGCGCCGGGCTCCACGGGCTCCCAGAACGGCCAGCAGCGCCACCCTCTGCAGAACGTGTCCTCGCCTTCCGGTGTGCTGAACGTGGGTTCCAACAACCCACTCACCATGTACCTAAACCAGATGTCCGCTCAACAAGCCCAGGAGCAGGAGAACCGTCTATCCGATCCCATGGTCCTGGCCGGCCTCCAGGCTCAATCTCAAGCCCCGTCTCAGCAGTCATTGTACAACAGCGCCAGCAACGGCGACCTCAATGGCTCTATGGATGGATCTATGCACCACGGCCATGCTCACAAGCCTTCAGCCAACGGCTACCTCAGTGTCGCTGGCTCTGGTCCCGGTCACCATTCCACCGCTAGCACCAGCAACCTGAGCGTCCCACGCGCCCAGCACTCCCGTGCCGTCAGCCTGCCTTCCTTCTCCCAGGAACCTTTCGGTCCAGTCTCTGGCCAGCCGGGTCACATCCGCTCAGGCGCGCACCAACCCCAGGCTAGCTTCTCCAGCTTCTCTGGCCTGGGCGGCTTGAATCACTCTGGCTTCGGTCTAGCCATCCAAAATGAAAACTCCTTGCCTGGCTGGGCAGAGGAAGAGATTGGAGCGAAATAAGCATCCCCACCAAGAGTCGAGTCATATATCCTCCCATCTAGCCCCATCTACATCGCAGATGGTAATTTCGACTCATTACATTATTGTGACCCCCTGTCGGCGATACCTAATGGCATTTTCTTCTCCCCCTTCTCATTTTCTTTTCCCCATTCTGTTTTACACCTACTTTTACAACCTTCTTTTTTTCCCCTTCTTTCTTATTTACACATAGTTTTCTTCCTTCTTTTTTGTTCTGATTGTGACGCCATCTCTATCATTTTTACTATCTACTTTTTATTTCTTTCTGATATTGTACTGCTCTTAATCATTCTTCTTTTTTTACTATTTTCTTATCCTTATTCCTTTTATTTCCCAATTTCTCTCTATCTATCTCTCTTGGACTCGGACGTGACTCTTGCAAATCACTTATTCCATACTTGAACCCCCGACTCTTTTACTGGCCTTATATGGATGGCTGTCGGGCTTGGCCCGGCATGATCTGGCCGCTATATACCCCCGAAATATATTCTCCATCTATACCCCCTTTCCCACTTGTGATCTCACGCATTGCCATCTAATAATCTAATTTCTTTTCGCTTTATTATCTTGTATTGCTAACTGGCTTTGATTTCATTTCCTTCTTGACTTTCTGCATGTGTCTTATTTATGTGTTTTTGGTCTGGTTACTTGCTGCTTCCTGCCGATGCTGAGATCAAGGCCGGAATGTATATCCCCTACCTGCCTTTCTTTTTCCCATTTCACTTCATTTCTTCATTGTGTTTTCAACTGAACTTCTTGACCCTTTTCTTTTCTTTTTTTTGGGTCTATGTCTTTGTCTTTGTGGCTTGTTATGCCACGTGGAATGGATGGTTTGCATCAGGCGGTATCATCTTGTGATAATACCCTTTGTTCCGGACGGGACTAGTCTTTCTTGTCTGGAGGTGGCGGTGGTGGTTGAGTGTTTTGCTGTTTGTTGGTGGTTAGGTAGGCCATTGTATTGTACGGGTGGTCGCTGATATTGTTCATTTAGTAGGGAGGTTGGAATGAAGGGGGACTTGGGGAAATAAATGCGTCGATGATGTTGAATATGTATTCTGTGTTGAGATGTAGGATAGGATAGGATGAAAATGCCGTGTAGAACGGGGAGCGTACATATATATCTCGGCGTGCCTTTTGTCAGTACGAGCCTATGAGAGCAGCAGGTCATAGCTGCAAGTACCCTCCTACGCATAGTAACTGGCTAATCGCGCCCAATTACAGCAACGAAGTAGTATACAATGTATTTCATGTCTAAGCCGAACCATTATGCCACTTCTCCAACATTTAGTCTTCAGACATAGAGGTACATTGCCACATTCTAAACAACCAGATGAAGATGTGCCAGCTCGACCCGGGAGCTTAACCCTGCTTTGTTTTCGCTCATTCTGGCAAAAGGCACGGATTCGCCATGCTGTCTTCTCACTAGTAATTTCCAGGTAGTTGAACTCGCATAGGTTTTTGCGGCTCTGGGTTGTGGTTGAGTCCCGGATTGCCTAGTTTTTTGGCGGCGGTTGAGGACGCCCGGCAAACGCAAAGAATTCCCTGGAGAGATCCTCCCGAAAATCTAGTGTCGTAGGTAGCTTCGAAGCCTTAACCCCTTGCTGCTTCTTGTGGGTGCGTTGAATTTGCCATGCCTTCATAAGCGCATCTTCGAGGAAGGGAAAGGGAAGCGGGGCCGGGAATTTGCGGGGATTCCCGAATATCTTGAAGGCAGATCGATTCCGGTTTATAAGACCAGGTTCTGCACAATGACGGCCAATGAAGTCGTGTATAGCTTCAGGACTGTCAAGCTCCTCTTCAAGCGATTTATCCCACGGGCCACGCGCAAGCAGAGCCTTCGCAAAGCTTGCTCCTGGCTCGTCGTTATCTGGAGCAGCGCCGTCGAAGGATAAGGTTGACGACTGGTTACCCCTTTGCACTTGACCAGGCAGAGGCAGAGGGATACGGAGATTACGCTTAATTTGCTCAAAGTGCTTTTGGCCCATGTAATGTCGAGAGGGATGTAAAGGCCCAGGATGCCAATCTGTATTAAAATAGTAGGAAAGACTTGGTGCGATATGGACACTCATATAGATCAGGAGACCAAAGAAGACTTTGATATCGTCGATAGTGGTGTCCTTCCACGTACGACTAGTGTAAGATGATGAAGATTGGTCTTGCTGCGCGACGTATTCATTGGTTGACCGGCTAATGCGTTGAAATATCTCTTCGCCGATGAAGTGTATGAGGATTTCATATGGGCTTTCTAGGTTTAGGTCGCTGGGTAAGTCTGTTTGTGGAGGTGTAGAGGTAGAGATCGAGGGTTGAACCTGCTGAGATGGTTCCTCGACTTGCTCTTGGGTAGTTTGTTCAGCAGTAATCTCATTGAGTTTACGCTTGGTACCCGCCATCGCAGTGGATTTCTTTAGAGCCATGTAGATTAAGTCACAGGTTAATTGATAGAATAATTGACAAAATAGTGGGAAGATTGTGAGGAAGATCGGCTGGATAGATGGCCACACGTGTATGGAGCACGCGTCGAAGTCAGTGGGGCCCCTATGTCCAATAGCAATCAAGAATTTTCTTCGACCAATCATATTGGATGGATTCTGACTTTAATGGCATCCCACTACACGTGACACACCCCAACCCCGATTTAGCCTAGTCCGCGAAAGCTTCCCATCAACTCGTGCCTCGACAAGCTGAGCTTCATCTCTCCATCTCGCTCTCGTCCAGTCCAGTTTCAATCATCAAAAACTGTGGGAATGGCTCTCCCGCCCGAGCAAATCAACATTAAGCGTCGTCGTGAGGAGGAACCCGTGGAGACACTTTGTATGCGATTCCTTCTTCCTTGTTGAACTTTGTTTTCTTTGCATTTTTACCCCACGATCTAGACCCCGCCATCACATTCTTGACCTTGTGGATTTTGTTCGCATTTTGCATTGATTCATGTATTTATCGAGATATTGTTTTCTGCATTGACTCGTCTTCACCGTCTAATCAATTCCCTCTCTCGCCACTTTTCCATCTTGTCTCTCACTCTCCTGGGAGTCTCCTCACTAACTCATTGCAGATATCCAGTCTGCAACACGCCAGACTAAGCGTCGCTTCACGGACTATGTCTTCGAGCGCGTTACCATCAACAGCAAAGATGCCGCTAACGATGCGATTGGCCCTCCACCCGGGAATCCAGCCGCCCAGCGACTAATCCGCAGCCCTCGCTCCGTGAGCAACCTGCACATCCCCAACCGCCGCGCAGCGCAGGCGACCAACGCCAATGGCGTACCCGTAGTACGCGCTACGTCTCCTGGCGCGGAGATCCGCGAAGCTCAGCGCATGGCCACTTCCCGGAAGGAAGCCGAGGAGAAGCGTCGGCGTGCCCTGCAGCCTCAAAATGTACCCCAACCCTCTCCCAGCCCAGGCCCTTCAACAGCGGTGGAGCCAGGGAGATCAAGCTCCCCATCCGTGACGCCCTTGTCGAGTCGTGCGCAGTCTCTCCGTCGCTTCCAGATCTCGCGATCCAACAGTCCAAGCCTCGGGACCCCTCGTACCATGGGCGGCGGTATCCAGAAGCGTCGACCTGACGGTGCAGCTCCAGGTGTAGCTGTTCTTGTCGAGCAACTTCGGCGTCAGCCGCACTCGCGCCAGGCTTCAATGGTAGCAGGGCTTGTGGATCGAGCACGGGTCGAGCAAACCATCGAACAACCCGAGGAGATCCCCGTTCAACCGCGCAAGCGTCCCGTCGTGAACCAAGCAGAGAGAAAATGGCGTGCAGAACGTCAGGGTGCTATCACCGCCGCAAAGCAGCATCTCTCAGAGGTCATGGAGAACTCGGCACAGCAGGCGCATCATAATACTTGGGAAGAAGAATCGGAGCGCCTGGTCAAGGATTTGGAGCAGGTTGCGCTTGAACTTGAACATGAGCATGAGCGTGAAAATGTTATGGATGTTGATGGTCATAGTATGGACTTTACCCCCAGGCCCAGCCCGTGCTTGCGCCTACGCCTATCTCTCCTCCAAAGCCGATGAAATATCAGCCCCGACCACCGAAACAACCTCGAAGCGTGCCACGAAAACCGACTCCGGAGGCTGAAATGGAGGGTATCTTTGGTGGCGCTGCTGCTGCTGCTGCTGCGACTTCGGCCGTGGTCGACGATAACGAAGAGGACTACGTCTACGACGTGTATATCCGCCGTCCACTCTCGGAAAGCGAGATGCTCACCAACCCGCTCGCAGAACTGGAATGTGAGCAGCAGCTACAACAACTCGAGGCTGCGAGTCGAGGGATCGGTGTCATCGTTATTACCGCCGAGGACGAGCAGTACTGGGAGCATTTTGTGGAAGATGAAGAGGAGGAATGGGATAGTGAGGACGCGGATTCAAATGGTGAGTGCTATGCAAATTAATCACAGTCTTTGAAATTACTAGTGATTGTTTCGCTGACAATTTGTGTTTCTGGATAGCCGAGAATAATCCCGCCAACGAATACCCTGACGAGGAACTCTCTTTCTCTGATGAAGAGGATGATCCAACTGCTATCTATCGCAAGTATAGACATCGTGCAACCTCTGACGACGAGGAGTTTGATATTGATGACTCGGGTAGTGAGGGTGGTGCGCGGTATGGGTCTGGCTATGGATTTTCGCAGCGTTATGCTGGGGATGGGGATTCGGATGAGGATAGTGATTGATTTGGCATTTTTGATTCTGGTGTTTGTTGATTTTGAGTACCGGAGTATTTAGCATATCATACGCGTCAAAATAGCGAGTATTGTCTGTCTTCTCGAATTAACTTGTCTTTCTCCAGAGATGATTTCGTCTAGGAAGGGTTTCGCATTAGAAAGAGGTCTAGAAAGAGGTCTGAAAAGAAGTCTAGTACTGTCTCGTTTTCTCTCCCTCTTCCTCTTCAAACAAAACGTCCACCAACAGAGCACACGAACAGACAGTATACAAACAACTACCACAGTCCCAATCCGTAGAAACAGACAAAGGCACAAGGAACAACCACCGTATCCTCAAATAAACCCAGCACAATATCTCCTATCAAAACCTAGAAGCCTCTCCTTCGGTAATGGCTTTGGTGGAGGCAATAAGGCCGAGATTAATTTCTCAGTGTCGATATCATTTTGTAACCCTTCAATGTGATCCTCGAAGGCTTTCTCTTGTGGGGTAAGGTCGCACCTCTCAAACTCCGTGGAGACTATAGACTGGACGGTGTTTTTGGGACCGACGCTATGGAGAATCCATTCTAGGCTTGATGAGATGGAGCGCATGTTGGATTGATGGAAATGGGATAAAGGAGTCTGTAAAGAGATTTCTGAAGGGAGATTGAGGTGTTAGGAAGGTAAGAAGCTGCGAATGGTGAGAGGTGCTTTTCCGTTGAGTAGGTATTCGCTGATTCCTAAAATGAACTTTATCGGGGGCTACTTTTCCCGAATTGCACGACGACACCGAAACAGGAAGGGGAGGAACCAAGGTTCATGTCGGTGCGTTCTTGATTTTATATTTATACATGATAGTTTCTACTGACTTCCCTACTAGGGTTGGTACGCACCGGTTTTGGAATTTTGGGACTGGTAATCTTAGTTTGGGTCCGGAGGTCGATTGCACTAGAAAGATACTAAATGATATTCCTGAAATCGTGTCTGGAAATGCCCAGGCTTTAGTGAACTGAAACCCTTTGTGTAATATCTCGGGTGAGGTACAATCGAGGAAAGTAAAACATAGACAGAGTAACAGCTTTCGGTCTTCTGGTTAAGACAACAAAAGTCGCGTATAGGAATCGTCTATTCCATGAAGCCAGATTCTTGCGTGAAGTCAAATAACGGAACTAGAGCAACAGGTCAACACCTCAGAGTATCTCATCCTGGGAAATCAAACGTACCGTTCATAATCGAGTCAATATATGAGACAGGCGAGAAATCCATGGGATTCACCATATCCATATATCCCTCCGGCCTGATGAAATATTAGCCTGTGAATGTATTCAGATGCAGTGTACAGCCTTACCCAACGCTAAACAGCGGCGCAGCATTCGCGCCCATTGCCGCCAAGTTCTCATTTTCGGCGTTTCCAATCTCTCCCTCGCGATCCAGAGCACCCCGTAGCATGACCAAAGCACGAATATGGCGAGCCGATAGCCATTGGCTGTCACTATCAGACGATGAGGTGCCATCTTCACTGACTTTCGAATCAGACGATGAAAATACATCAATCACACGCTGTTGCAAACTTCGGCATTCGGGGTCATTACGCGTCTCTTCCCAAATGCAGAGAAGTAATGTCGAGCTGAGCACGGTATGTACCATCGACCAACTTCGCAGCGGTACCACACTAAGGGCTTGGAATTCGAGGAATGCTTTTGATGCATCGATCAGACTTCCTTTTGCGCGGGACCGAAGTAGTTCAGATTGAGGGTGAACTAATTGGGGAGGAGATTTCTTCATGGCTGGGCGACAGATGACCGATACACAAAACGATGTGTGCATCCTGAGTGCTAGATGCTGTAGGTTTTGTTGGAGGGAGATGCAGTTCTCCCTGGATTGGAGGTAAGGTTGACGCCGTTGGGAAACGCTGTCCAATCTTTGGAGATAGCCAATTGCCTGCTCAACCTCGTCCAATCCGATGGTCTCTGCTCGCATGATGTCTAGGCCAAGTCGACATATCGAATGCATAACAGCCTCGTAGGATAAATCCTGCAGTTCAAAGACGGGGTTCTCGAGGGGCCATCCTGTTACTGTGACAATGGGTGGGCGGTCATAACAGAGGCAGAGAAGACTGTCTTGCCAAACGATGGTCGACCTGAGATTATCATCAGTGATGAGTTAACTAACTAGTGAATGTTTACTTACCAGAGCGCCCGCGCCTTGGTTTTCACCTGCTCGGGTAAATGTGCTGTGCCTCGTTGCGTGTGCAGTCCCATCGTCTGAGCGAGGCGAACTGTTGTGCCGAGCAGTGCCCACGCCGCATCTGATTGACCCATGTTTTGCAGGGTATTACCTAGAATTAGCAGTGCCTGGATGATGTCCAGGGATGGTCGAAAGAGGAAATTGGCTAAGCGGAGGGCGTGGAAGGACCGACGAGCTGTTGATTGTTGAATTAGTGAGCGGTCATGATCGTTCAATTGTACTTGACTCATACCAAAGTCAGTCGCAAGCTCTAGTCGTTGAGGATATTCAATGTCAGAGTAATGCGCTCCTGCAGCCAAAGTGGCAAGCAGAAGACTAATATGACCAATAGATCTGTCCGTCGCCCAGCGCTCGGCGACCTTGTCGGAAGATTTGAATTCACCCTCAGAATGGGCATTCAAATAAGTGCACAGATCAGATTCAAACCTGCCCATGTCTGCCAATATTGGATTGAACGGGTAGGCAGTAACCTGATAGTAATGGAAGAACCTAGTCCTAGTCAGTCTCCCCAACTTCATGGTCCAAACGATCCTAACATACTTCAAGACCTCATTCCTCTGCGGCAACACACTCAGCAACGCCTTCCATCGATCCCGCGGCGTCTTCGAATCCATGAACGGATAGCTGTTAAACGTATTCTGCAGTCCCAAAACAGACCCAACCTCCCTTGCCACCGACTCATTAGCATCCGAAGCCCGCAACCGCAAAATCGACACAACCGAGTTATCCCCAGAATAAACATAATCCTTGGATCTATCCTCCGACCGAGAAGGCGTATCAGAACTAGCATTCACCACGGCAGCCGGTGAAGCAGGGGATGCAGAGCGGGTAATTTCTGGATGCGAAGCCGATCTGCGCCGGGAATGCGACAGCTTGTACGTGCAAATCTGCGGATGTTTGCGCCTTTGACAGGTTTTGCAGGGCTGGGTTCCGTCGCATTTGACTTTGCGTTTCTTGCAGGGGTAGCAGGCGTGGGATTCGCGCTCGCGGCTTTTCAGCCGTAGTACTCTGTCTACTTCGTCTTGACTGGGGCCGCTCATGGTGAATGGTGCCGAGGGCGCCGAGGTGTGCCGGACTGGTCGGACTTTGGCTCGTTTGTCAAGAATGTGTATCTTTCCAGTTAGTAGTGTTCAGTCAGCAAGTCAGAACCTTCCGAGGTAGTTAATTCGATATGTTTCGTGCAATGCGTCATTCAGTGAGGGAAGTTGTAGTTCACTTGCCTTGTCGTCTGTGCCAGGTGCGGATTAATGCGGCAAACGCACGGGCCAGCAGTTGGCAACTACCAGATCCTCGATGAACTACTCCGGACATAAAGTAGAACGGGCTAACAAGGACAATACTCGGAGAGCAGGTGGACAAAAGCCCAGCATTGATAACTATTTTTTGGTTGGCCTACTTATTGAGGTGAAAGCCTGCAACTCTCAAAGATACTGTACTTTGGTCTATAACAAAATAGAGTAATATATTTTGGTCACATCCGGGGAGTAACAACAGCAATGATGCTGCCAGCCTGAACTTGGGTACCTATTGTCATCCTCGTGCCTAGGTAGACTCGATCTATATTCATTTGCAATCTCAAAAATCTATACATTATTCGGCTTAAAAACAAAGATACACCCATCAAGAGCAATCTACTCCTCCCGGAATCCCATCTTGGTCCAGTTGTTCAGAACCTTCTTCTTCACATCCTCAGGGAAAGAGTTGTCAAAATCAGCAGCTTGCCAATCCCGTCCAGTGGTATACTCCGTCGGCATGAGAGCATCCGAAACCACCTTTCCACCCATCGTCGGCGATCCATTACCATGCGACATGTAGGGAACCAGCGGGAAGCCGCGTACGTCCTCGAAGAATGTCTCGTCGAGGTTGGGGCGGCACCGAGTCGAGAAAGCCCACATCACGTCCTTGCCGTTATACACGTCAATATCATCGCCAACCAGTACCAGTCGGTGAATCGTGTACCCGGCCTTATGGTTGAAGACGACGTCGCCAACACGCTTGCGGAATTCCGCAGAAGTAGTCTTCATCTCACGGAGACGGGCAGTATCGATGCGAAGGGCGACCCAGGTCACCTGGGATTCGAAGGGGGCAAATGCGTCGGTGACGGGGAGACCGTTTTGTTGGCAGACTTTGCGGATCTCGGCGGCGGCGAGAGAGCCAATCATCGTATGTGTCTCATCAGTCAAGCGGCCGCATGATGACATGGGGAGGATGGGGTCATTGCGGTAGGTGATCCGGTTCACCTTGTACTTCGGCCACAGGTGAGTATCACCAGGGAAGACGTAGCCGTGCATTTCACCGAAAGGACCCTCGGGGCCCTTCTCAGTTATGGAGAGGGTACCTTCGAGAACGATCTCGGAGTTGGCAGGCACGTAGAGGTTGTTCGTGTCACACTTGACCAGTTCCAAAGCAGAACCAGTCATAGCGCCGACGTAACCAGCCTCTGTGACACCGTCAGGGATAGGCATGCTAGATGCCATGATTGCAGCAGGGGGAACACCAAAGGCCAGTGCCCAGGGGACGTCTTTGCCTTCCTTCTTCCACATCTGGTGGATTTGCCAGATGTGTTGGGGTTCAATGACCAGTCCGGTCAGATGCTTTTCATCGGAGACCATGGCACGAGCAATAGACCAATTGGTCCATGATCCATCGGGAGACTGGACGATATGCATGCCATAGGTCTGAATGTACTTGCCACCGTCAGCCTGGTGGATCAGCGGTGCAGGTAACTTGGTCAAATCGATCTCGCTTTCCTCCAAGAAGTTTTCCTTGCAAGGACCGGTGGACACGATTTGTGGTGGGATGGGAGGCATTTCACTGGCGGACAACATCTTATCGAGGATCTCCTTCATGGAGGCGGTTGGCGGCAGGGCAAGATGACGAGCCAGACGGCCATAGCGGTCCTTGGGCGATTTACGCAGAGATCCTGGAGCACCAAGGATGCGGAAGAGACCCTTCTGAGTGCCAATGACATTATTGAACAGCGGGGCTTTGTCGTCAGTCTCACAGACCAGTCGAGTAATGGCAGCAGCCTCGAGATTGGGGTCGACCGGGGTGTTGATCTCGGCAAGATCATCATCTGCCTTGAGGGCTTCCACAAAGGCTCTGAAGCAAAGGTGTGGCTCGTTGTTGGTCATTGTGAAAGTGTTAAGAGCGTTGGGCCTGAAGTCTAGTATGGTTGCGACTTCGATGTATAGATCAGTGTGGATGGATGAACCCCTGCAGACCGTACCGGCTCGCAGGTTATATATCCCTTGAAATTGTTCGGCACGGCAAACTCGGATCGGACGCAGATCCTAAAATTGGATCTCAATAGGCCAATTGATCCATTACGAGACTCGGTATGCCGCAAACTCGGGAATGCTCTTTGCTTTGGTGCCATTTCCCCGAGGCCCCGAGATCCGAACCTCCGAACCACGCCGAAGGTGGCTGTTTTGGATGGTTTGTCGTCACCAACAAAGCCTCCTTGCGAACTTCGGCATCGGACCGCGGAAGTCTCGCACTGGCCACGAGGCAAGTCAAAATGGCTAAAAACACCACACGCTATTAGTGGCAGACTCGCGACTAGCGGCTTCAAGAGTCATACTATCCCGAAAGAGCTCGGCAAATCGTTCGGCTGCGGGGGAGAGGGGGAGGGCTTGTACAATAAATAGAGAGACAGATCCCCTCAATTGAGTGAGAACAGAATAATATAGATCTTTCTTCCACGCCATGTTCTACCAGCCAGGCATTTCCGAACACAACTTACCCCATGACCCATTCAAGGTAAGAAGAACCGTCAATACTCAAAGAAGGCAGTCACTAACAGGGTCAGGCATGTGTGGTTCCTCGACCGATCGGATGGATCTCCACGCAGAACAAACAAGGCCAAGCCAATCTGGCCCCCTACTCGCAATTCAATAACCTGACCTTTGATCCGCCATACGTGATGTTCTCATCCAACCAGACGGTCAATGGCTCGCGCAAAGACACCGTCACCAATGCCGAGCAGACCGGCAAGTTTGTCTGGAACCTGGCAACCTGGGACCTGCGCGAAGCCGTCAATATCTCCGCCGAGCAAGTGCCGTACGGAGTGGACGAGTTCGAGCGTGCCAAGGTGACCAAGGAACCTGCCACGCTGATGGATGTTCCCATGGTGTACGAGTCGCCCGTCAAGTTCGAGTGCGAGTATCACTCCACCGTTCGTCTGCCTGGTAACCCGCCCATGGGCACTGTGGACGTGGTGATCGGCCGGGTGATCGCCGTGCATGTCAAGGATGAGGTTTTGACGGACGGTATCCTGGATATTCAAAAGACCAAGCCAATTGCGCGCTGTGGATATCATCAGTACACAGTGGTCGAGAAGACGTTTGACATGGTAATTCCGGGCATGTCGGATGATGTGCTTTATGGATTAGAGGGAAATGCGAGACGTAATCGGGAGGCCGAATCGCGGAACAATCTGGAACAATGATGGAGTATCACCCACAAATCAGGGTGTCGGTATATAGTCTGCAGGGACCAGTTTGTCGAAGCCGAGGAAATTCGTCGATAGAGGGTGATTTTCGTCGGACGAGGTTCATTTTGTGCTATACTGAAAGGGTAACCTAAGCAGAACGAAGCAACAGAAGATACAACGCCAAATAGACAATATAAAATTCTGCTATGTATCATGGCGTCACAGAATATGGACCCCTTATTAGAGTCACATCATCATAATGGGAACATTTGCGCGTCTTCAGCGGAAGGAAGCCAAAAATTCGGCATCAACATAAGATCCCCAAACTTCGCTGGGACGTTCGCATCGACAATTGTGCCCGTGTCAAATGGTGCTTACATAGTTTGTTGTAAATCGGGCAGCGGTGAGATGAAGCTCTCGGAAATCCCTTCACTAGTAGCCGGTTGCAAATTATCAGGTCCGTCAATTTCCTGTTGGCTGACCGGGTTCAAATTTCCTTCTGTATCATCGAAACTAGAAGCAAGAAACTCGAACAGTTTCACAGCCCAGCTCCCTGGGTCCCACAAATCAGCTGCCTGGTTCAACACAATCAGACAGTTATCCAGTGACGCTCGTGCCTTTTCAGCCGAGTGGGTATCGGATTTCGCCACCGACGATAAAAAATAATGCCTGCAAGGAAAAATCCAGGGAATAGTTCGTGTGGGTATCCGTTCAGAGCAGAATTGGTCATTATGGTGATAGCAGTGGATGCAATAGAGATGCTGCCGATTCTGCAATCGTTGTGGAACGGCCCGTACTTCAAGAGGTTTGAGCTTGGGAGGATGAGATTCTCTCTGGCTTTAAAATATGGAGCAAGATGACATGATAATGGAACATAATCTTGAAAATCACAGAAAACTTGGGCAGGGACGACTTTTGTTGAATCCAGTTTATCGATTTAGGAAAGGTCTGATTGCCAGTTCGACAGTAGTTGATGTAGCTGTGCCTCTGTGGATGTACATTCTCCGGGCCCAAAACGACTGACGAGGATCTGGCGTAGAAGAAGTGACAATTTGGACATTTGAATTTGATAATAAGCGGGGTGTTTGCAGTGAAAATCAGTTTGTGGCTGATGAGAGCACGTTATAACGCTTTCAAAATCCTCGCATGTTAAGGGTTCTGTGTCGCAAAGAGACATGTTAAGTCTGAATGAACGGCCGAGGAATTCAGATGTATATGCGTCTCAACAACTACATTCTGTCTATCAACAACATCGCCACGGCAGAGGTAATGAATATGGTAAGAAAGTAGGGCCTTGATCCTAAGGCTCTCACTGATATGCTGAAGGTTTCGATCGGGCGTTGCTGGCCGGTGGAAGTTAACAACCCCGTCCCAGGTGTGAATAAAGTTGCTCCCGCGTCTAACGATTATGAACCGGGTGGGACCGTGGCAATTGTCAAGAAGGGTCTTGGACTGGCGATAAGTGAAGCAAGGCATCCAATGCTGCGTTAAAGCTAGCTGACGCAGCATAGGAAGTTTATGATGCAGTGGAGAAGGAGCACCATGGTAAGGACGTGTCTATCGTATACCAGTGGTTGCAGACACAGGCGTGATCTCGAATAATGCTAGTTGTCTTCATATCTTGACATATATTTACCTAAAATGTAATATTAGGACCTGTGATTTACTGTATCCGGTTAGTTTTGCCGGGCCTAGCGCCCCAATACGCTTTCATGTAACCTCTCCCTCCATCGCTCCGACATAAAAGACGAGGCCTGCCCTCTCGACCACTTTTTCCTTCCCTCTCCCTCCCTTCAACTCCTCTATCTTGCACTCATCGCCGCCCCCTTTCTTCCAGTCCGGCCCCCACCGACTATTGCGCCTTGGCTTTCAGCAGGACGCACTGCCCCTTTCATTTTACTGGAGATGCCGCTCGATCCGACGCCCAGCTCATTCTCGCTCCTCCCGCTAGACTAGCAGTCGCACAGTGGCAGAACCATCGAGATAGTCGAGCCCGCAGTGGTATCGCAAGACATCGGGTCGACACCCCTACTCCTTCCCTAAGGGAGTGACTGTGCTCTATTCTACGAAGCTATCTAGGTCTTCTTCTACTAGTGAGCCTTATTCGTCTCTGATTGCCACAGCCTGCTACGCATCCGTAAGGCGCCGTAATATCCTCTACGCTGTATTCCCTACTACGTCCGCCCCTCTAAGGTTACATTGCACAGCCCCCGCCGTTACAGAACAGCCCTCGGTTGCCTAATCGCGAATACTATAGCGCCTAGTTGTCGCTATTCTCAGATTCCGGTCCCTCTACACCCGTCGATAAAGTCTTAGAAAGCACCCCTCGGTGATATAGTCTAATAGCAAATATACTGTATACGCTACTAACCTAGTCGATCCTATATCATTCGACCCCTGCTCGGACTGCGACAGGGAAACAATACTATAACCCCTGCGTTATATCGAATAGCGAACGGGCTGCCTGCTAAGTTCCCAAATCCGGGCCACTCCCACTTCTCTCTCCACACATTTACCCCTCCACCCACGGAACTGAGCAAAACCACAATGATATACAGGGAGGGGCCAGAGTTTCCATTCTTCTGCCACATCTGCGGCGCACCCCCAATATGGCGCGGGTTGCTGGCAGACAGCACCCTCCAACACCTCGCCACAGAAGAAGACGATTTCGACCATAGAGACTATCGATACCCGGATTTCATGCCCCACCAGGAGAACCTAGGATACGATGCGAGGTTGCTTCCACCGAGGCATATCAGGTGGCTTGATGCGGTGCGGCTCGTCACGAAGAAGATTGTGGACACGGTTAAGTTCACAGTGACAGACGGGCACGTGCCTCTGTTGACTCCGCTGGTAAGGGCTCCCGATTTTTTTGGATGGGGTGGGAATCATCTGACATCACCACTGTGCGTACGCTGGCTTTCTAACTCGGGTGCGACCTAGGCCGTATATGTCAATATCGACGACGGCACATTCCACTACCCCGAAGATGGCAATTGGTTGTCCTGTAACGTCGACGGGTACTTGGTACACGATACGTGCTTCCAGATGTTGGAGCGCGTGCACCAACACCTACAGGCCACTTCTGGTTCAAGTCTTCATCTTGATCTGGAGCAGTTATGGGGTTGGTTGGAGCGCGGTCTGGACGATCGCAACAATGACCTGGTCGATTGGGGGTTCGGGGACGCATTCCAGGACGCTAGTACACGCTGGCATGGCAAGAGGTTTGATCCTTCCTGGCAGGAGTGGATTCCGGTGAAGGGGTCAATGGTGGGTCCTTCTATTGGATGAAACTGCCACGGGCTCCAGTGTGCTTAAGAGAGCTGTCTAACTCAACTGCATCTTAGTGGACTGTAATAGATCCTGAAGGTCCATTCAATTGCCAACCCCTGCTCCACCATGCATCGACAAGTACTCAGCCTGGTTATTCCTTCACCAGCAGCGTCAAGCTGGTGCAGGCAATTGTACCAGCTCTCCAGCATCCCGAGCCCAACGTCAACGTCCTCTCATTACTCTCGTGCGAACTCCAACTGAGCATCCTAGAACTCCTCCCGACTTCATCCGTGCTCAATCTCTTCCTCGCCAGCCCTGACTTTCGCCGTCATATAGAGCACCTCCCGTCCAGCTTCTGGAAGTCCCGTCTCTTCTTTGAGGTGCCGTGGTGTGCGGATATTATTCTGTCGCAAATACCAACAGCCCAAGGCGGTGGAACAGCGAATAGTAGAGTCCAGTTTGACCGGCTTCTGCGCTTTCTGGAGGAATTTTATGCGTATCCAGGCCGGGAGCCAGAGGGCGAGAACCTTGAGTTCAAGGGGCTGAGGAACCGGCGCCGTATTTGGATGAATTGTAAGCGGATCCTGAAGGAGATAGAGGCCCAGAGCAGTAGTAGCAGTGGTCATAGAGAGCAAGTCTAAGCAAAATATGGGTTTTGGTCCCCATCCTAAAATTTAGAAAACTAAAATATGGATTTTTTTATATTTATAATTTATTATTTATAGAATTTTTAAATATTCTTATTAATAATATAACTAATAATCTAATGATATGAAAAAATATTAAATCTTTATCAAAATTTGCATGTTTTTTAAAAATATATACAAAACATAAAAAACTAACTTTATTTCATAAAAAGACATAGATAGTACATGAACATACTAAATACAGCATATCAGGTTTCCCTAATCTAGGATATAAATATCTCTGAATGGTAAACGTGCTCAGTGTGACTAAGATATGGTGTATCGCGAAAGGAAGATAATATAAGAATGCAATGGTAGGGGTACCCTTGCAACGTAGATTGCTAGGTGTATTCGCCGAGCGTCAACAGAGGACAAGAGGATGATGACTAACAGTGCTGGTTGGGTGCAGAATAGGAGGCAGTACAATGGAGCGGGCGGTCAAGCAACGGCTCGCCGTCCAAAGTTACGGGTGGAAAGGCGGCCATTTCTGGCGCCAGAGGTTGTCATTTTCGGCGTCGATTTCACAGGTCCCTATATTCTAGTCGTAAACCAGTCAGATAAAAGCTCCGCTACACTCCGCGATCAAAAGAACTTCTGTTGATGCGGGGCCGCGGTGTTCACTCACACCAAGTTATCTTGATTTCTATTGGGTGTAAAGTCCAAGTAGCTAAACGATTGTTCTACAGGCAGCCTGACTTTTAGGGATCACCAAAATATATCGAGATCACGTGATAAAAGATAATGTTGCTTGAATTCTAAGAATAACAGAAATATCAATGTCACGTGGGAAAAGCTAGCCCAATCCAGCCAGCCAAGTGCGGAAAGGGTTGCCACAGTCTGACCAATTAGCATCGTGTGCTTTGTGAATTGATGGCCACCTCTTGCCAGTTAGATAAAAGCTCCGCTACGCTTCGCAATTAACGAAGCTAGATGGGGTATATAGATTTTGAATAAATGAAAGATAGCTAGACCTTCCGTCTGTATTCAGGCATCCGCAATGTATGCTGAGCACCGGAGGATGCACCCTATCAATGCGAAGCGTAATCGGGTGGTTGAATCGCGGAATAATCTGGAACACTTATCGATTATCACACCACGAATCGGGTCTCAGACTGTCAGATTTTAGTATGCAGGGTCCAGCCATTTGCCACGAGATATTGGATACTCCTGAATAAAGAAGGGTGGTTCCCCGGGGGGCTTTCCGAGGTCGAGTGTCTCTGTACTTGCTGACAGCTGACACGCCGAGGGGAAGGCCAGTCACGAGGACATTCGCAGTTCTCCGCATAGTCAGAACTTTTGATATAAAACAAAGACGAGCATTTATCCACCCACCACTCAACAACCAATTCCCTATCAGCTGTCTCACCACATTAGGATTTAGACTTGTAAACCTTAGCCTCCCTTGCATGGCAAGTTCTCCACGATAGACCTGCCATTCGCAGGCCCGCCTCTCCTTTGTAGCCAGACTATGGCCACTCACGGATCTGCCCGCTTCGTTTATCACCAACCTTCCCACTCACAGACTGTCTATCAGCAAAGCCAAGACTTGATGTTGCAGTGTACCCTACCAGCCAAGCGGAGAAGGCCATGCCAAGAAGGGCCGCCAAGCGCAGGGATATCAACACTCGGGCCGCCAAGGACAGCTGCGTCCATTGGACAACGCCAGTCTTGGCAGCACTTTAGCTTCTGCGGAGATTCGACCAGAACAATCAGTGGGCTGGGCAGAGGCGAGCCTATGAGCGCCTCCAGCCTATCAGGGCGCCCCTCCTTCATAGATGGCGCTATCTCGCGTGCTGGCGCAGACGGGCTGGGCGCCCCAACCGGGGGATGGCGACTCGGACTCTCAGACATTGGACGTTGGTTAGGGCAATTTGGGTAATTGAGGAAGAGATAGCTCAACCTTCAGCCATGGCACAGATCTTGTGCCGTCGGTTTCCCAGGCCTTGGCCCGGCTATCGACGGTTTCTCCGCCATGGCTGGCTCTAGCATTCCCGTTTCTAGTCAATGCGCCGGCGCGATCCTGAGATATCAGAGGCACGAGGGGAAGAAGTACTAAGAAATACTAATTTACTTCTCCCGCGGCTGAGAGCGCACCTTCCTAGCCGGGAAATCTCTTGCCCCCCCCCCCCTCCTTTCTTCTAGTCTTTGCTTTAGTTGTCTGACTAGTCCGGCAGGCGCGGCTTTTAAAAGATAACCAAACCCCATCTTTCTCGCTTTTTCTTTTTGTCGATCATCTCTTTTGTTTTGTCGCCCTTTCTTTGCCCATTATGAATGCGTCCGACCCCATTGAGATCGCCGAGGTAGCCAAGGCCAAGGCAATCCAGCATGATGTCGAAGTGAGCGAGAAGCGTCAGGATCCTAGCCAGGATCTAACAATTGAGCCTGCTCCGGCCACCAGCACGCCCGCCGAGGGCGAGGATGAGGTGCTGAACAAGGTGTATCCCAACGAGGATGACCTGCGCAACCTGCGTCGTGTCTCGGGACATCTTCACTGGACCATCTTTACCGTTGCATTTGTGGAGCTGTGCGAGCGTTTCTCGTACTATGGAACTACAGCAGTGTGTGAGTAGAAAAAAGCAATTATAGTCTTTTGACTGTAACGAATGCAGTACTAATTTTTCTTTAGTCGTCAACTTCATTCAACGCCCTCTTCCCGCGAACTCGAAGACCGGTGCGCTTGCAGCGGGTGCTGATTTCAATAACGATGTGCCTGGAGCTTTGGGCATGGGACAACGTGCATCCACTGGTTTGACATTGTGTGAGTAAGCTGCATACCGACAGGGATCATGTTTGAATGCTGACCGACGCACAGTCAATCAGTTCTGGTCATACATCATGCCATTGGCTGGTGCATATGTGGCTGACCAGTACTGGGGTCGATTCCGCACCATCTTTGCATCCATTGCGTGTGCTCTTGTTGGTCATGTTATTCTAATTGTCTCGGCTATTCCCAATGTCATTGCCAAGCCCGGTGGCTCAATTGCTTGTTTCTCTATCGGTCTGATCATCATGGGTGTTGGAACTGGTGGTTTCAAGTGAGTGCAATGAGACATTACATCGATGATAATCATGGAGACGAGACTAAAACCATTACAGGTCTAATATTTCCCCCCTCATTGCTGAGCAGTACCGCGAGGAGAGACCTGTCATCAAGGTCATGCCAGATGGAGAACGGGTGATCGTCGACCCTGCTGCGACAGTGGCCCGTATCTATCTTTACTTCTACCTGATGGTCAACGTCGGTTCCCTGGTCGGCCAACTTGCTATGGTCTACGCTGAGCGATATGTTGGATTCTGGCTGTCTTTCCTCCTCCCCACCATGATGTTCTGCATTTGCCCCACGGTTCTGTACTTCTGCCGGAGCAAGTATTACCTGGTCCCACCCACAGGCTCGACTTATGGTCAGGCTTTCCGTCTGTGGTCTCTGGCCATGAAGGGCCGCTGGTCGCTTAACCCTGTCAAAATGTAAGTTGCGAGTTCATAACGGTGACCGTTCGAATCTATACTAATACGCTATAGGTTCAAACAAACCTCCCCTGAGCACCAATACTGGGATCACGTCAAGCCCAGCACTTTGGGGGCCAACAAACCCACATGGATGACTTTTGACGACGCATGGGTTGATGAAGTTCGCCGAGGACTGAAGGCTTGCCAGGTGTTCCTTTGGTATCCTCTTTACTGTAAGCTGACCTCCCTTTGAATGACTGTTTTATCTTAACCTCTGCTAATACTTCTTCAGGGCTGGCCTACAACCAGATGCTGAACAACCTCACCTCCCAAGCCGCGACCATGGAACTCAATGGTGTTCCCAACGATGTCATCAACAACTTCAACCCCTTCGCCCTGATCATCTTCATCCCCATCTTCGACCGCCTCATTTACCCCGGTCTCCGCCGCATGGGATTCAACTTCACCCCACTGAAGCGTATCACTGCTGGTTTCATCATCGCCGGCTCCGGCATGATCGTCGCCACCGTCACCCAATACTATATCTACAAGCTCGGCCCCTGCGGCAAAGACGCCAACCGCTGTCTCGAGGAAGAAGGCCTGCACAGCCCCATCTCTGTCTGGATCCAAGTCCTGACCTACGTTCTGGGCGGTATCTCTGAGATTCTGGCATCTGTCACCTCGCTCGAGTATGCCTATACCAAGGCTCCTCGTAACATGCGTTCTCTGGTCCAGGCCGTGGCGTTGTTCACGAATGCTATCTCTGCTGCTATCGGCCAGGCGTTGGTGGGTCTTTCTGCGGATCCGTTGCTTGTGTGGAATTATGCTATTGTGGCTATTTTGGCGTTTGCTGGTGCTGTGGGCTTCTGGTTCAGTAATTCCAGTTTGGATAAGGAGGAGGATAAGCTTAATATGTTGCCTCAGAGTCACTATGAGGGTCGTGGGGAGAAGACTGATGTGGAGGCGAAATGAGATTAATATGAGTTGATGTGTGATGGGTTTATGAGGATTGGGGATATGCACGTAGCTTTTGTATAGGAGTCTTGAGTATACTCAAGGCGAAGGCAAAAGATAAAGATAGGAAAATATTATTAGTCTTTCGTGTGCTGAGATACATCAAGGTCTTAATATACAAGTTCCTGAGTATGAGGTTCTTACTCTTCCTCCTCTGCGTCAACATCTTCGTCCTCGTCACCTTCATCCTCCACATAATCTTCCTCATTTTCATCCACATTCTGATCGTCTTTTCCGTCCCCTTCATCATTGTCCTTTTTTCTATTCTCTTGCTTGGACTTGCCAGCCCCTTCATTGTCCTTCTGTTTCTTGTTGGATCTGGTTGACTGCTTCGCAGTACGTTTTGTTCCAGCACTCTTCTTCTCATCTCCCTCTTCCTCGTTAGCATCAGAGTGATCATCGCCATCATCCTTGCTGGCACTTCGCGTCTTGGGACCTTTCTGTTTGTTCTCATTCTTCTTGCCCTTCTTTCCGTTCTGACTCTTTTGACCCTTCTCCTTCTTCTCCCCCTTATCACCCTTTTGACCTTCACCCTCATCTCCACTCTCGCCCTCACTCTGGTCTTCATCCTTCCTCTCCTCTTCATCATCATGAACCTTCCTCCTAGCCTCCTTAGCCTTCTCTGTATTCCCAACAAACTGCTCCCCCCCCTTACCCCCCTCAACCTTCTTCTCCTCCGTCTCTTCTTTCTCCTTCTTACTCATCTGCTCCCACGCCTTCTTCGGCAAATACCGCTTCCGCGTCCCATTCTCATCGTCTTTACGGGCCGTCCCCGATCCTTCTTTCGTTTGCCAGTCTTCGTTCGTCCATTCGTTGAGGTGTTTCTGGGATTCGGATTGGCCGGTTTCTTTGTCTGTTGTGTAGGAGCCGCCGCGTTTTTTGTATTCGGAGGCCATCATTTGGGCCTTTGCAATAAAGAGGTTAGTATGGGGGTTTCTTATAAGGGAGGGGAGAAGCCGATAGGAGGAAGAACGTGGAAGGAATTACCTTGCGAGCTGACCATTGTCCTGGTTTTCCGCCCTTGTCGCCCTGGTGAATTTCTTCTTTGATTTCGTCGCGGAGCTTGGGATCGGTGTACTTGTCTTTTGGTGCCATTGTGATGTGGAGAGATTGATTAATCGAGTGAATGGATGTTGCAGGCAGGAGATTTGAATACCTCGTGTAGTTCTATAGAAAAGGCTTAGTTTGTCGTCGGCTGGGACCAAGATTTTATCTCCTTCAGTCCCTACACATTGCAATTGCGCCTGGCATGGAGGTAAAATCTAGAATCCTGAATCCGAGATCTAGTCTAGGTCTGGTTATGACATCTTCATGCTTAGCTATCTTCATGTCATAGGGTGACATCATCCCATCTCATCCACATCCCTGGCCGATGCGGAATGCGGCTAAATCGGATCGGTTCCTGGGGAAAACCAGTTTTCGCCGCAACTTAATCGATCGTGCGGGATGGTGGCGCCGTCAGAGATATGAGCTAGTTTCTGGTTTTTGTGATGTACTGTATGGGTTTCTTGATTTAAGGACTGGTTGGTGGAATGTTTGGGTCTGGGTTAAGCTTGATTTGAGCTGCGATCGGGTAAGGTAGGCAAGGGCTAGTTTAATGTTTGGGAACTCAATCTTGGATATGAATGACGCTACGTTGTAGTAAAGGTGTTAGTTCCGCCAATCAGGAATTAGAGTCATAACTAGAATTTAAATTGATAGTGTATGAAATGAGATGGATGTTTCTTTGGTATTTGCTTCTTGTCTATCTCCCACTCCGCGGACTTTACGACAACTTCGGGCGCAATCGCAAACTCGGACCCGCCACAAACTCCATCCCCTCATCAATATCCCCCTTCAACGCAAACTTAATATCCTTATGATAATGATCACGAGGCTGCCAGGGCCCCTTATCACCAGCCCGAGGCAGCGTGCGCTGCGCAAGAGTCACATACGTCGAGTTCAGATTCAACAGCGGACGCTCTTCCAGATTCTTCGCGTCAGCGGGCTTGAGTCTCGGTGTCGCGGCGATCAATTTACGCTGATCGAGTGTCTTTATCAGACGCGTGACGAATTGCGCTGTCGCGTCGGAACCAAGAGTCCACGAAGCGTTGGTGTAGCCAATGATGAATGACGCATTGGGTAGATCCTGCAGCATGACTCCGTTCCACATGTACTTCGAGCCGGGGTCGTATTTCTCCCCGTTCACGGAGACTTGTGCACCACCGCCGAGTTGCAGCTGCAATCCCGTCGCGGTGATGATGATATCCGCGTCTAGCGTCTCGCCGCTATTCAACGTGATACCGTTGCTAGTAACGGTTTTGATTGTGTCGGTGCGCACATCGGCCTTGCCGGCGCGGAGACTCTTGAAGAAGTCCCCATCTGGGCAGATGCACAGTCGCTGGTCCCATGGTTTATACCGGGGGGCGAAGTGCGGGTCGTAGGGGATGTGTTTGGGCAATTGTCTGCTGACGTTCATCTTCAGAATCCATTTTGAAAACGTGGGGAATGTCTGGCAGAAGAGGAAGAAAATCCGCGTTGTGACGATCCAAACTGCGCGCTGGATGCGCTGGTATGCGGCTGAGGGGAGGATGTAGGAGAGCCAGTGGCTGGCGGAGCGGTTGGGGAGGGAGAGGATGTATGTGGGACTACGCTGGAGCATTGTGACGCGGGCGGCCTTGTCGGCCAAATTGGGGAGGAGAGTGATAGCCGTGGCGCCGGAGCCGATGATCACGATCTTCTTGCCTGTGTAGTCTAGGTCTTCGGGCCAGAATTGAGGGTGGATGATTTGGCCTTTGAAGGCGTCGAGACCGGGGATTTTGGCTTGGAGAGGCTGCTTGTAGTTGTAGTAGCCCGTGCCGAAGATGACGAAGCGCGCCGTGAACTTCTTCTCCTTGCCGTCGGCGTCGACGGAGAGGTTCCAGACGTGCTCCTCATTTGACCAGTCGGCGGTGGTCAATGTGTGCTTGTAGAGGATGTTCTTGTCGATGCCGAACTTGCGCGCCGTGTCGCCGATGTAGGATTTGATCGCGGAGCCCTCGGCGATGGGGTTGCTGCGGTTCCAGGGGTTGAACGCGAAGCCGAAGGTGAAGAGGTCCGAGTCGGAGCGGATACCGGGGTACTTGAACAGATCCCATGTTCCACCGTGGTCGTGGCGAGCCTCAAGGACGGCATAGCTGAAGCCGGGGAGCTGGTCTTGGACGCGATAGGCAGCGTTAATACCGGAGATGCCTGCGCCGACGATGATCACGTCGAAACGGTGTTCTGACTGTCCGTTGGCGTGGCCGTTCATGATGGCGCAGTGGACGAGGAGGTGGTGCTAGAGGGGGGATGGTTTGCGGAGGAGAGGAGATCAAAGACGGCCGATCACCATGATACTTAAAAGGAAGATTGAAGATGATGGCGCAAGATCAGATTTAAGACTGGTTCACATGCCTCGGTTTCACGGCGGTCAGGGATCGGCGGTGGACTGATCGTCTTGAGACTCGCAGTGGTTACGGAGTGCGGAGGGTTTAGACAAAGTCCGAAGAGTCTGGGACGGAGCAATTATACCCAGAATGGATTTATGGGGTACTAAGCATAAAGTACTCAGGGCGAGACTGGAGATCCCAGATTTCTGAAAAGCTAAAAGCCCCAACAGTCTGGGGCTGGGAGCCATCATCATCATGCAGTCCGTGCGGGCTCCACGAAGCTGGGGGGCGCAATTTAGGCAGATCTTCAGAATCTACTAAGGAGACCATGACAGGCGACAGGGCTTGAGTCTGCGATCATACAGTATTCTTTGCTCTTCGGTCTCTAGCATTTAATGTATATGTCGTGTCTTCTCGTAGTTATCACGAACTCGTTACACAGATCTGGCATGATCGATAGCCGGTCCGGTTCAAGACCCGATCTTATCAGAATCAAATCTATCGACAAAGAAAGAATGCCTGGTTCTTTCTATCTGACAGCAATCATAGTCGCATGTCCAAAGTCCTTCTCATTGATCCGCTCGTTTACACTTGCCCCTATGCGGCATATGCAACCTCGGAGCCATCCCGATTCTCCACTCCCCCAAACCCCCAAAAATTCATCAAAATGTGAATACAAATAATCAGAAACCACGAGAACCACCTCGGTCCTCTACATGTTCCAATTCCTTTGACCAAAAGTCAAAGAATAATGGGAAGATGGTAATGCAACTCAGAATGCGATTGGACCTGCCAGCGATCCTTTCCCCATGCAGATAGCATTGCGAGATCAACCCTTCCCGCGGCTCCGAGGCTTTTCCCCACGAGCGGATGGTTAGTTCCTGAACCGGCGTAGCTTGTTTTTATTTTCTCCCTCTTCTCCAGTCCCCACACAGTCCACACAGTCCACAGGCACGCGCCGCGGTACCGACTGGAGAACCGCACGGGGATGAACTTTGTCGAATTCGGCCTTTATGAGGCACGAGGTAGTCGCGATGATGGAGTGTCCAGAGTCCTAGTAGTGCTTGGTCCCGTGCATCGCAGACTGGACATTGACATACTCCCTGGTCACCACAATCAGACCGTCGACGGATTGAAAACACCCTGAGACTCAAAAGTCATCTCCTGGACTAACCCGTATCGCATCCACCCCTGACAGCATGTCCCTCACAAAGACCAAGCTCTCGCTCGCCGAGAAGCTCGACTTCCTCCCCGCATTGGCGACTATCTTCGTCGCGGCCACGTACTCGCTTCTCACGGGTCTTTGGCGTACGGAGCGTGAAGCCAAGTCTTTGTTGCTGCATTTCGGCTATGCCATCTTCCGCCAGGCTACGGCGCGTCTGTCGCCGGCGCAGATGCAGGCTATCCTCCCTCCCAGCAACAAGATCTATGAGCGGTATGTGAGGAAGGTTGGTGTCAAGCCTCAGTCTGTGGAATTGGGACACGGCGCGTTGGGTCATTGGGTTGGTGATCGCGATGCGACCAATGTGCTTATCTGGTTTCACGGTAAGCTCAAACCCCCACCCCATGAAAAACAGGAAGGAATTGGTATTCTGGATTGAACATGACTGACATTTCTGTGTTTTTGTGTCAGGCGGCGGCTTCGGTCTCCCCGCAAACATGGGCTACTTCAAATTCTACGCCCAAGTTATCGCCGACCTCCAACGGTCCGGCAAATCCATCGCCGTCTTCAGTCTCACCTACACCCTCGCGCCCGAAGCAACCTACCCAACCCAACTCCGCCAAGCCGTCTCTGCAGTCCGCTACATCCTCACCCAGTCCAACCGCGACCCCTCAACAATCTTCCTGGGCGGCGACTCCGCCGGCGGAAACCTCGTTTGCGGCGTCCTCTCGCACGCCGCCCATCCACACCCGCAAATCGAGCCCCTATCTCTCGGCGAGCACAAATTCGGCGGCGCAGCCATGATTGCTCCTTGGACGTTGCTGGACAAAGAGTTCCCGGGCCTGGATATCTATCATGGAGGTGATTTGATTACGACTGCTGTGGCGGCGCCGTGGAGTACGGCTTACCTGGGCGGTGCGACGAGGGATAATTATACTGACTTGTCGAATGCGCCGACGGAGTGGTTTGGCACGTTTCCCGTGAAGAGGGTTTTGATTACCGGTGGTGGGAATGAGATCTTGTTGCCGATTATTCGTGATTTTGCGGAGAAGATTCAGAAGGGGTTCCCGGATGTGGAATTGTTTGTAGGGTATAGGGAGTGTCATGTTGCGCCGATTTATAATTTGGAGTTGGGGAGTACCGAGGAGACGGAGCAGGGGAAGAAGGTTAAGAGTTGGTTGAGGGAGTTGGCGAAGTAGAAAGTGAAGGTGAGCTGAGGTTGTTGTACATATTGTCTTGATTCTTGGTTTTGACTAAGGGGACTCTTGTCGGGCAGTATATAGGTTGCTCGGAGGGATTTTGGATTATTGATATTGCAATGGGCTGTGCCCTGGATTTATGAACATGTGCTTTGTGATTGTACGACTTTTGAGTAACTCGCCTTGTACGACTCTGTCTTGTCTACCGGAAAATTGGAACTGAAAGTATTACGTGGCTCAATTTCTCCCAAGAGCATGAGACAGCGCTACTTCATCTTCCGCGGTCCACTCGAGGGCCGGTCCATATTGATTGATTGCCGTCTAATATTCTTCATCTCACATCCACCTTAGTTTCAGTGCAAAAGTCTAATGCTTCAAGATAACATAGGAATCGTTTATGATAGATATCTGGTATCACATGTCCATTTCTCATATCTTCACAAATAGCACAAGTAAATAACAAGAAACATGTCTCGCAATCCCTTCACAGTAAGTAGGGTATATACACACTTCCAAAAGAAATCCACAATATCAAACCCGAGTATATCAAAAACCCAATCCTACTAGCGCTTTACAATCCCTCTTTCCGCTGCACCTCCCTCAACCTCCGCAATGAACCCGACGCAATCGACCTAACCCCCTCCTGCATCCAAGTCGGCATAGCCCGCACCAAACTAGCCGCAGACTGATACTCGGGCAATATAACCTGCCCACTATTCTGCGACAAAATCTGCTTCACAATCGCGTTCGCAACAAACTCCACCGTCATAATCGGCTGCCGGAAATGACTCTCATGATCCGTGAGCATCTTAATCATCGGCGTCCGCACCCACATCGGATGAACAACCGACGTCCGCACACCCGGCGCGTTATACCAAGACTTCAGCTCCTGGCGCAGCGATTCATGGAAAGCAAGCGCACTCGCCTTCGAACAGCAGTAATCGGCCATTTCGCCCAACGCCACGAACGACGCCATCGATGCGATGGTCACCACGTGCCCGTGGTTCGCCTTGATCATGGCCGGCAAGAACTCTTTCACCATGAGGAAGTGCGAGATCGTGTTTACTTCGAAGGTTTGGCGGATTTTGGACTCGGGTTCTTCGAGGATTGTGCCGTCGTAGCCGACGCCGGCGTTGTTGACGAGAACGGTGGGGTCACCGTGTTTGGCGCGGATGGTTTTTGCGACTTGGGCGATGTTGGCCGAGGATGTGATATCCGCCTTGTAGAAGGAGACATTGGCTGGGAGAGTGAAGTTGGGCTCCGTGATGTCGAGGATGATTACGCGGACGCCGATTTTAGAGAAATCTTCCATTACTTGTTTGCCGATGCCGCTGCATCCGCCGGTGAGGAGGATGAGTTCGCGGGAGGGATTCCAGCGTGGGCTGCTGGTCCAGTTGTTCAGGGTCCATTGGGAGAGGGACTTGTTGAGGCTGCGGATGAGGCCGAGGGCGAGGAGGACGCCCAGGGCTTTTTGGGTGAGCGGGTTGCGCAGGTAGGCTTGCGCGGGTTCGGGGACGTGCGACAGTGCAGTCTGGGTGTATTCTTGGAGGAGGTCGAGGTAGGCCGCCATTGTGGTGGTGATAGTAGTTGTATAGGTGGTGAGGTGAGAGGTGAGAAAGAGATAATTGGAGAGGGAGGGAAAGGGGTGAAGGTGAAGATTAAAAGGAGAGCTCCAGAAGAAGTCCTACGATGTCGATCGGCACTTTTATGATCCCCGTTGCTATAAACGAGTGCCTGGGTGCACGCATCAATAGATGGGTTACTGTTACTCAAGAAACTTTAAAGTGGACATTCGTACCGCCGGAGACTAAATTCTCCAAGCATCGGCTTGTCGCGTCCATCACTTTCGGGTCTCTCCACCAGCCGAGGCCTTTTGGTGCAGTCACAACTAGGGGATCGACAAGACGAATGGGCTGGAGGCCCGCAGGGTAAGGAAAATGGGACAAACGCTAGACCTACCATAGATTAGCCTGTACAAAGGAATTGGAGCAGACTAACCAGATTGAGCCACCAATGCGAATCCACAATTTTTACCGCGGGGCTCTTTATCACATGCACTGGCATGCACACGCTTCCCTCAGGCTCGTGTGGTTCGTGTTTGTTACTTCCCCGCAGATTCTTCCTTTTCTTAATCTACTGTAGTCTAAGGATCTCGGTGGTACATCGGCTCGAGTATCCGTTCATCATCTATCCCCACATGTATAGAATGTTCCTCTCGCACTGACGTCGGAAGTATTCTACTACATCCGGTTAGATCTGGGGACCCCATTCGATCTTAGGGCTTTTGGAACACTGATGATATCACAATCCTCCGATCTCACAAGCTTCGGCTCTATGGAATCCCCCCACATTGTGAGGATAGCATGATAGTATCGTGATTATCATTATCAGTCGATACCACTTGGTTACCCCCATAAGCAGACAAATTCAACCATGAGATCATTTTCACACCATTTGACTCCCCACGCAATGACATACGCACACTACCGAGGTCGATCGCCGAACAAACTGGGGAGCCTGCCGATCGGTGGAGTCCACATCCCTACAGTAGTTACAGTTAGTGACTAGTATTAATTGGTTTGGACTGGGGCTATCATTCAAAGTGGAATCTTTTCTCCCCCAGACTTTTGTTTCTTTCTTTATTCCTCCGACAAACCTCGATAATCGTCGGTGGTTTTATTCCTATTCTTATCATATCCTCCGCTCGCAAGGATCCTTGCGACATCGTTTAGCTGCACTTCATTCAGCTGTAGAGATGGCGGCTGGAGATAGCCTCCCGGCCCTGTTGGCCTTTACCCTTGTCGAGGCGTATTTGTTGCAGCGCACTATCTTTGCAGATGAGACTTTTCGCACTGTCGTGCTGGGGACAGTAGCATTCAATGTCTTCCTCAAGAGTTTGTATAGTCTGGTCATTTGGCCGTTCTTCTTGAATCCACTGCGTCATCTGCCTATGGTCCCGGTACGTACAATCCGATAACCCTAATCAATCTACCATCAGCCATCCCATCCCGATCTATACCCCATACCCATCCTCCCCCCATCTAGATCAATACCATCTGTAAACAATGCCGCAGACTAACATGTCCCAAGGGCCTCATGAGCAATGCCAAAATCATCTTCGACTCCCCCCGGGGCCGCATGCCCCTCTACTGGATGAAAACCATCCCCAACGAAGGCCTCATCCACCTCCGCGACATGATCGGCCAAAGCTATCTCCTAGCAACAAATCATCAAGCCCTACTTGACATCATGAGCACCAATACCTATGATTTCGAGAAACCCTGGCGCGCGCGTAACTTTCTTGCGCGCATCCTGGGCTTCGGTCTTATTTTGTCTGAGGGCGCGGCTCATAAGAGACAGCGGAAGGCGTTAACTCCTGCATTCAATATTAAAAATATTAGGGCGATGTATTCGTTGATGTGGGATAAGACGAATCAGTTGCTTGTTGAGATGGAGAAGGAGTTGAAGAGTAATCCTATGGATGGGATGAGTCCCGAGGAGGGGGTGGGCAAGTTGGAGATGGGGGTTTGGGGGAGGTATGTATTAACCCGTTCCTCGTTATCCCTGGGAAGGATTTGGTTATACTAATGCTTTTTGTTTAGTCGTCTCACCCTTGATATCATTGGCCCCGCGGCTATGGGCCGGGACTTCCGCTCTATCCAAAACAGTGATAATCCTGTCGCCGAGAGCTTCCTGCGTATCTTGGAGCCGACTACTGAGAAGATGGCCTTTTTGGCTATGAACTTTACTCTGCCGCAGTGGATTGCCCAGCGTGTGCCCTGGCGCTTGAACCAGGTCATCGCCAATGAGACGGGCTTCCTGCGGAATCTTTGCAACGACATTGTCCGTGAAAAGCGAGAGATGTTGGCTTCTTCCAAGGCTTCGGCGAAGGATCTCGAGGCTGATATTCTCGGCACGATGATGTTAGGCGGAGACTTTACTGATACGGAGCTGGTGGATCAGATGTTGACTTTCCTAGCTGCGGGAGTAAGTTAACCCCCTGCCTCCAAAATATAGCTATACATTGTCTTCCATGGATACATCTTGCTAACCCCCTTATCTCTACCAGCACGAAACAACAGCCGCAGCCTTAACATGGGCCTGCTACCTCCTAACCCTCCACCCAGAAGTCCAAACCCGCCTCCGCACCGAAATCCGAACAAAAATCCCTTCCGCCACCCACCCCATTACCCACACAGACCTCGAATCCCTCCCACTCCTAAACGGCGTCTGCCAAGAAGTCCTCCGCCTCTACCCAACCGTCCCAGCCACCATCCGCGAATCCATCCGCGACACAACCGTCGCCGGCAAACACGTTCCCCGCGGAACCCGCCTCATCCTGTGTCCGTACGCCATCAACCGTGCGCCCATCTTCTGGGGCGAGGACGGCGATGCGTTTGTGCCGGAGCGCTGGATTGATACTGATAAGAATGGGAATCAGGTTCCGAATAATAATGGGGGGGCGTCGACGAATTTTGCCCAGATTACGTTTTTGCATGGGCAGCGGGCGTGTATTGGGAAGGATTTTGCGAGAGCGGAGCTTAGGTGTGCTGTTGCTGGGGTGGTGGGGAGGTTTGCGTTTGAGATGCAGGATCCCAAGCAGGAGATTCATATTGCGGGGGCGGTTACGACGAAGCCGGTTGAGGGGATGAATTTAAAGATGTGGAGGGTTGAGGGGTGGTAAATTTTTACTGTATTTTGGAAGAGGTGGAGGGTGGGATACTAGGAACAGTAGGGTATGGTTCTGGCGTTTGGTGTCGGTATGTTTTGCCTATAATTTGATGTCTTGATGAACCTATTTGAAAATGTGTTGGGTATACCTCTCTTTTGTTGATATGCAAGCCCATGCTCGTAACAGGGCAGTATGCTCCCAAGTAAATTCCTCCCTCATAGATCCTATGTCCACTGAAAGAGTGGTATGACATCAAGCGTCCACGATTTCTTCCACGTTAGGTCGAATCAGCAGAGCGACCCTGTCAGGTAAAACCCATTCCTCCGCTTCCAACTTCACCCCAATTTTCCCCAACTCAACGTGGTGCTCTTCATCATATGGATCGCGCTCGGATAGGAACTCAACGATGCGAGAGTACCAGTGTCCTTGCAAAAAAACAATGATTGGGAATCCAAGCTCATCAAACTTCTCGTTGACCTCTGCCACCAGCTTTTCAAGATTCCCGACTCCCAGCTTTTCTTCGTCGAGGATTTCTTCCACTTCTCGCCTGTTTCTGGTTTGAAGCCTAGAACAACAAAAGTGACGGTTCCATTCATCGACGCAACAAACGTGCGTCAAGCTTAGTGCGTCAAATGTGAAGAACCGGATGATTTCCTGGCACACCTTCCGACTTTCTCCGATCCATATCAGGACAAAGGCTACCGTTTCTCGGAGCCAGAAGCCAAGATCTTCGTGTGAATCTGAAGGTCTATAGTAAAGACACTTAAATGCTTGACGCAGCAATAATGATATAGTGTTGCATCCACTGGGGGAACATGCGCAGATACATTCATCCGCGGACGAAGGAGTGATAGCGAACGATTTGGTTCGCTCCAAAATCATGGCTTTCCATCTATTCCATTCTTTCAAGAATAGCCAGGGAGGCTCTGTCGGAGACCAAAATGCGTTATCAATGAAGCCGAAGATCCAATATGTAAGATTATGGGCAACAGTTGAGCATGTTCCGGGGACTGGTCTGTTGGGATCTGCGCCTTTTGAGATCAACCAGGATATCCGATCCATCACTTGCCTGGCTACTTCTTGCCCGAGATAGCGTAGTCCCCGTCCATGACTAATCAAAGGTAGCATCCCATCCTGATCCGGCTCATTGACTCCTCGGAACCCGAAGTCATAGAGAACCTGCAGTGTTTGGACCGAAAACAATGGATAATGATAAACTGAGCTCCAGGGATTAAAGTGTGGGGTTCGCAAAGATGAATCGATTATGGTACCGTTTTGTGTAAGCCTGGAGTGAATTTGAGTCGTCCATACATCAAAGATTACGAGGTTTTTCGAATCCCCGTCCCGGTTCATGAATAGTGCAGGAATTTCCTCAGAGGGCAAATGACATTTTGCCAGCTTCCACAACCCCTTTAGTCGTTTGATCAACTCCCCTATGAGGAGAGATCTTATATTACCTCCATTCGGAACTTGGTTGCATTGTTCGATATCAACGAAGCTGAATTTGCACCCAGCTTGAAGCAGAATCTTTACCGAATCATAGGTGATCTTAGACTCGGTATCTTCGACAAAGCGGATTGCGTAGTCATGAGCGTCAGCCCCTGCTTCCAATAGTATCTGTATCCCTCTTGGCCAACCAAATGCTATGTCAAGCAAGGAGCAGGCGCCAATTCTGTCGTTGATCAAAAAAGACTTCGCCTTCATAGCTTCTTTCAGATCGGACTCTGATTCCCTCATAATGGCCTTAGCAATATCTGGGATATTGATGTCTTTGAATAAATGAGCAACATATTACAGGTAGAAACGAGCATGAGTGTGGGGTGGGTGCATACTGTCGTGATTTTGGCGAATAAACCACCGAAATCCTTCTTTCTGGGCTAAAGACCCGGGAGGTTGAAGATTAGAGCCATAGAGATCAAACAGATGACCACCAATCTGATGCTCTCCTTGAAGCAAACCAGTCAAACTTAGCAGCATCGAAATGTAAGGAGTGTCGGGGCCATCAATTCGAGCAGGACTCGCTCCGCAATCAACTAAAAATTGAAGTAACCTCGACGAGGCAATAAACGAGCCGTAACCTAACCCCATGCATGTGTACTGCTCCGATCAGTCCTGTCTCACAACGATGAAAATTTGAGAAATGTCACTCACATCCAAAATCGAGATCTCTTGCGCTGTCAAGTAGGAGTTTATATATATGTCGGAAGGCGTTGCCTCACCACGATCAAATATCTCTTGGATCTGCATTATGGTGGCTGTAACAAGGTCTTCCATATCATTTGGAAATTTCCGCCTAGTTTCATTGGCAAACGTTTGCAAGGTTTCCAGCACACGGCTGGAGCGTCCGTCTCGTAAAGGCTGCAAACGTAAAGACGGGGCAATTGAAAGCCCTGCTGTGCCTATTGTCACTGACAGCGTGAAATTGATCGCCAGCCTCAACATGCGGACCGAATGAGAATATGCCTTCGTTGTATTTTTGTTGTGTCTCTTGAAATTGATTTGTGAGTGAAGCTGATGTGTCGATCTGTGATTTGGGCGAGTAAGTGATGGTTCTGGTATGACAGCAACCCGAGTGCAGTGGTCTTGACAAAGATTCCGTGAGCTTGATGGTAGCACAAATTGTTTTCGTATATCTTCTATGCTTGAATTCTGCGGCTCATAGATTAATCATCATATACTCCCAACGACGGGCATATTAGTAGTCGTACCATGTGATGTATGTTTTGAGCAGTTGCCTGCTGCATAGTAATCAAGATTTGCGCGTGTTGTATCGAGAGTCTAGTCCTGGTCAGAAAAGACCCTTCAGAAACCTTGATGAAAGCGACTCACGCATGCAGAACGGTGTGCAAACTCAGATGTAAGCTATCCAAGTCACTCGACATGTCGCGCAAGCCATCCTTGCGGAATGGATATGTCGCTTTTTTGAACTGAGCACGAATAGCAGCCGTATTACCAGATCCTTTCGAGGCAAACTGAGCTATAGCCTCTTTGAGTCTTTTGCTCACTTCCTCGATCTGTTGCAGCTTCTCTTCAATATCCTTGGATATCGCAATGTCTATCGCTTGGAAGTTTGCAAGAAGCCCACGTAGCCATTGTAGGGGAATACGGAGTCCATCAGCCTTTTGGGATAACGTCTGAATGTCTCTATCGAATCCTCTCCATGCTTGGCAATATGACACGATCTTGTCACAGACCTGGAGGCCAAGTGACGCGACACCTACGGCAGTACCTGCGACGGATGTGGGATCGGACATTATTGTGGTAGTTGGATGGATGGAAAATCGGAAATGTGCAAGCCGACAAGATGCCGATATATGACTGCTCTGCGAGTTTCAGGTGAGAATGGCGGTGCATGCAGGTAGGCGCCCTAGTAATCGTGGCACCAATCACAGATCTTGACGCTCTGGTAACCTGGGCCTCGATAAGCCTGGCTGTGGAATTTGAGGACGATGACTTCCATATACCCTGACAGGACTGCATTGGTACGGGAGTTTATTGAGTATCTGTAGAGACCGATATGAGAAATACACACTGTCCATTATATGACACGAAATTTGGAGGTACCTAGCGAGTCGCAATCGGTGCCATCATGACCATTCCTGATTTTCCGGTCCACTACCTACTAGAAGACAGTTTCAGGTCAATCAAAGTATTCTTTCGCCTTGAACTGAGCTATTCTTTCAAAGCTATATTAACTAAGTTCTCTCCGAAAAGGTTTAATCATATACAAATTACCCACATCCTAGCCTCTCCTCATGCACTACTTGGCCTAATGCCACTTGGATCCACGGAACTGGAGAATGACGGTCGGGATAACACTGACAGCCACCATCAGTGCCGCAGCAATACCTGCGCCACCACCCCATCCGACAGTCTCGAACATCTGAGGGAACCTTTTCAAAAATTCAGCGTAGTTCATCTCATTAAAGGAAGGAGTAAAGCTCACCAGAAGGGCCCAATGAATCCCCAAGTCTGTCGCACAAATGTAATGAACACACCGACACTAGCCGCATCCGCACGGTAGCAATCGACAGCATAGGTGATGTTGATCGTAGTAACAATCTGATTACCACCAGCAGCGATAGCTGCGCCAATAATAGGCGTGATATTCCACTTATCACCAGCCTTGCCCAACTGTACCGCAAACACAGCGACACCGACGATCGTCAACGCATGTCCGATGTAGCTCAGCCACAGACGGTACTCAGCCGCTGGAGGAGCACCGATCTTCTTCTGTCGCTGAGCCATCCATCTGTCACTAATCAGGCCACCGACCTGCTCACCAATCACTGAGCCGATGATCACACCGAGGAACTGCATGCCAACTTGCTGGGTGTTGAAACCGAATTGCTCGGGGAAGATTTGCGGGATCTCAATGGTGAGGGCAATGCTACCCCAGAGGAAGATCATGGCGTAGGCACAGGCTGGGATGAACACGCAGGGCTTGGCGACATAGGTCAGGGGTTGGACGAAGTCCCACAGGCGAAGGGGGGATGGGTCGATGCGGCGGAACTTAAAGATGCTATCCTTGACGCTGGTGATTTGGCTGGGAGCGTTCTCGTTGCGGAGGTAGAGGGATTCCGAGCCGAAGAAGAAGTACAAAAGGAATTGGACGCCGTTGACCTAAAGTAGAGTGTTCTTATTAGAGCAAGATTCTCTCTGGGCTGAACAATATGAGAACAGGATGTATAAGGGGTACTCACGATAGCCAGGACGTAGTAGATCCAGCGGTAACCGACGCGCATCACCATGAATCCAAAAAGGAACGGCGCAACTGGGACACCCAGGGTCACCATCAAGGTCCAGTAACCCATGCATCGCGCGCGGTCCTTCTCGAAGAAAGTCTCGGCGACAACGGCACTTCCCATGGCTGCCGCGGGACTAATGAAGAACGCCGTGATAGCACGGCACAATCCCATAGTTCCATAGGAGTGGCTGTTCGCACAGCCAATGTTTCCGACGAGCGCACAGGACAGCGAGATCAGGAAGATGGGCCGGCGGCCAAACCGGTTGCAGAGCGGACGCCAGAAAAGAGGTGCACCACCGAGAACAGCGATGAAGAGAGAGACCAGGTAGCTGGTTCGCTGCATGCTGACACCAAGGTCCTCGGAGATATTGACAAAGGCGGACTGGATGGATGCCGCGGTGAAGAGACCGATCATAGCGTGGAAGACGACCAGCGTTAGGTTGACGGTTTTCTATTCGGAGAGGTGTTAGCATCTATACTATTCGGATCTTGTTGACATGATAGGGGTGGTGCTATTTACCCTCCAAATCGGCCAGTTATACGGGTCCGCATCATTCATGTCTGGAATGGGATCCAAATCCAGGGTACCGTGACGGGCGAGCAGATACTGGCGATGTTCCTCGGTGAGATGGGCGACTCGGTCCTCGACATAGAATGCCTCCTGCTTTCCCGACTCGACAGCCCCAGGGCTAAGATCTCCCTCCTTTGCATGTATCCCCTCGACATGCTGGGAATTGCTATCCATCTTCTCCATGGCTGTCACAGATAAACACAAGTGGAAGATAGAACACGTATAAAAAGAGTTTCTCGGACAAGAGAAGGCCCAAGGATACAAGTGAGAAAGGTCCGGCGCTGAGTAGAAAAGGCGATGGTGTGCTCTACACATCGGTCCTTATATACAGGCCCCCTACACAGGGTCGCTCCTATGTGCGAAGTCCGGGGTTTCGCAACCCTCGGACATACTGACTGGATCTGGTCTGGGGGCGGGGCCAAAGGCAAAGGCCCAGCTCTCCAATGATCTCCACCCCCAGACGTAGAAACTGGAGAACTGGATCCCATCCCTGGATTCCATCCCAAGAGGCGAGTTTGTTGCAGCTTTGTTGGACTCGTCCTGCGATTGGCCGTGTTAGTGTCTGGCCGGATATGATTTTTGCCCGTTGGAGTCTGGATGCTGTGGGATTGTGGGGTGTGGAGAGTGTTGGGATAGAGAAATACCAATCATCGCTGCTGGAGATCATTATGCCTCACCAGACGGGGTCTGCGATCGCCTCGATGACAGGTATTACCCCAGACCCCGCCATGTGAAGAGTTGTTTCGATGCATTTTCCGTGGAGAAAAAGTAGTTTTGGTCAATGAGTTCACCAAAAACTCTCTCCCTTCTCCCGAGACGGCGCATAATGCTTGTTCCCGCTTGGCGGCTGGGCGCGGCTGGTGGCGTCTTTAGCTATCCCCAAGCCAAGGATCAGGCTGAATAATGGAAGGGGGGGAGCAATAGATAGACTCTCTCTAATACTCCGTAGCAAACGTAGTCATGAGTATATATCGCGTAAGATGAAGTCCGCCATGTCTACGCAGTACGCGTCTCGCCCCCGGATGCAGCTGAGGTGGCCAAAGCTCCGTTCGGCCGTGAGAAGGAGCTTACCGGGAAGACCAACGAGGTGTAGCTGCTTTGATTGTTCTAATCTACTATTAACCGCGGTTTTGCGCCCGTTGATGATATCTCTTGCCATTCAAGCCTGCTCGCTTGCGGAGTCCTTGTACTTTTGTAGTCCCTGTTGTATATTGTGGGGATATCCGCAAGGCGAGGACGAGGTATACTGGGTTAGTTTGAAAATCTGATCATTTCTGTGACTGACTACAGATGAATTTCCTCCAAGTATCCTCTATGGAAAGAACAAGACTATCGCGCAATACACAATTTCTCAACAATTACAGCTCACCCGGCCACATCGTCCTACTCTCTTCTTCTCCCGGTAAATTCCTGCTACGTCGAGCTAGTGCAGTTCACACCAATATCCCCCTGAATACCATCGCAAATAATCACCGGTGGGCTACCCGCGGGGCTGGTCAGGTTGATTTTCGATAGGTGGATGTTCGAGCACACGGCGTTGGGAGAGCAAGTCAGATCAACAACCTCCTTGCCGTTCTTGCCCGAGGATGTGCCATAGATGTTGTCAAAGACAATGTTGGTGATGTTGACAGCGGACGGGTGTGCTGCACACTCGGTTGCATTGATATTGAAGTAGCACTGGTCAAGCACAAGGGGCTTGTCGGTGTTCTCGATGTGAATGTTGCGGTAGGTGATGTTGTTGATGCGTCCGTAGCCGACGTTCTGGCCGGCCCATGCCTTGAGGCGGGCACCGTTCTAAACCAGTGAGTCAGATATTTCTTCTGAAAGATTATATGGCCTTGGATGGCTTTTGAAATATGACATTTTGCTTACCTGGCCGTTAAGTAGGGTAACGTTCTCGATGTACGCATGCTCAATGATATCCTGCACACCCGAGTACTGTCCAATACTGCCCATGCTCACACCATGGGTGTTGTTGCACCAGAGGTTCTGTACGAAGATGTTTGACGTGTTGGGCTTCGGTGAGAAGCAATCGTCTCCAATGTCGACTCGGGTGTTGGTCACGCTGAGTCCGTTCACGTTGAGCGAATCAAAGCCGTCAGTGTTCTTGGGCAGAGCCTGCAGAGAGCCTGGTCAGTCTACATTCTCATTTATGGTATGGAATAAAGTTACCGAGGCATTGGTCGAGAACGCATTAATGAAGACATTGTCAAAGGAGACATCGTTGGTGCGCACGAAGAAGTTCGTCCAGCATGGCGAGTTTAGCTGGGTGATCCCCTCCACGCTGACGCGAGTTGCGTTATCGGTCAAGAACAAGATTGGCCGGTAGAAAGTGTTGCTCGAGTCCTATGATACTGTCAGCATCTAGCCACGGGGATTTGCTTTGTCCAAGACTGTTGCCTTACCAGAATCTCGCGTCCTGCAAACGCATTATACCAGGCCTGGCCGTTACCGTTCAAGGTACCGTGGCCAAAGATCTTGATGTCTTTTCCTCCCCAAACCCAGAAGGTGATTGATTTTTGGAACGAGTAATAGAAGTTGTTCGCTTGCCAGTACTTGATGTCATCGGTGAACTACGCGAGTTAGACTTTGCATTAAAGGTCCTCGCAACATATGCTGCCTACCTTGATTTCACCCTCCAGTTGAACCTCAACATTGTTCAGGAAGCTCAAGTCGAGCTTCTTGCCAATCACGTAGGTCTTGCCCTTCTTCAGGAGCAAACGGCCACCATGATTAGCGTGCTTGATGCCCCAGAGGAAGTCGTCGGAGATGTCGTCCGTGTCATTCTTAGACGGCCTAATTGTGACAGTCCGGCGGTCTGGATACTTTTGCCCGTGGGCGCCAATGTTTCGCAGCGAGGACTTGTCGTTGGCAGGGATGATCTGGGCACCGTGAGGGACCCGACCTGTGGAGACAGCGGTGACTGCGCCGATGAGCAGCGCGCCGAGAGTGAGGAACTTCATCTTGAATTGTCCTTAGAGCACAATTTCAATGAGAAATAGTTTGACAATTCTTCAAAGTGGCATTCCTTGTTGGCAGATTGTGCACTCAATTGAATCCCCTGATCACCCTTCACGATTGCCAGCACTCATCCATTTGTACTCCGCTGCCCCAGCTTTCACCCATCTGAAGCAGCATTGGCACGCGGGGAAGCAAATTACATTTCTCCGCCTGTAACAATGCACAATACCTTGAGCAACACGAGAGTTCAACGGGAAACGATCAACAGTGACATGTCGCGGTATTGCGCCCAGGCTTTTGCAGCGCATCTCGGCATGGGCGGATTTCTCCGCACTCTGCCAAGCACCAGGCCGTGGGGATGCGGAGAGGTTTAATTTTCAATACTAAGAAGGACAAGTCTTCTGGGAACTTTTTCTTATGGCCGGGCGGGAATCTGCCGTCTTGGAAGTGGTGATTTGCGCATGCTGGAAAGGGGTTGTTCCACCAATCATGGTCAATGTGGGGAATTTGAAGAGGTCGGTGTGTCAAATATAGCCTCAATTACTAAGTTATTGACTTTCTGGTATGTTTGCCGGTCACTTATTAATCCAAAATCATCAAGATAGTCAAGGATAGGAAATCCAATATAATAGATCTTTCGGGTCCTTGGTATGAAGCACAGACCGCCAAGCGGCAGAGTCTCTATCTTTCCCAAAAGCTTTGTTATAGCAAAAGATGCGGACAAGGATAATTTGAGATCAGTTGAAATTCCCAGCACTGACACACCAAGGAAAGCAGAAATTGCTAGACTACATAGCGGAATCCAACGACAATCTGGGCGGGAGTTGGGCCATTCCGCCCCACATCTAGCCCACGGTCGAGCTTATGGTTCTGACGCTGCAAGTAGACTCGCGTCACGGTTGCCAATATTATAGCCAAGACGGACGCGGCTAGGTTGACCAAAAAAGCAGCAAGATATCTTGGCGGCGAGTAGTAAAGATAAGACGCCCACACTGTTCAAACGTATTAGTAGGTGAAGCAATGTGGAGTCATTATCTCTAACGCACCGTTCGGGGTGTTGCAAACTGCATTGATCATGGCAATGGCCGAGGCACGCTTGATTGATGGCTGCGATAGCGTACCAGTCACCCATGATAGAAGGACAATAGCTGCAGAATAGAAGGATCCCGGCATCAACATCATGGCAACGTCTATATTATAGTCATGGTCAGTTCCGCTCAAGGAGGCACATTCATTGTCAGACCTGGCACTTACAGCGTGCAGCTGTGTTCAGTGTCGAGACAGCTATTATGTTAGCCATAAGACAGATGACCATTGGGCAGACGATGTGCCAGTAGCGCTCTTGTTTCTGATGCCTTGTTAGATAGATTGAGTAGCAGATCTTTCACCGGCATACCTTGTCGGAGTGAAAACCGTTCAAAATCATCGCAAATACACAGAGAACATAGGGTGGCTGCGGAGTGTCAGAAGGAATAATTGGGATGTTATTATCACACGCTAGGGAGTCACTGACCGCGGTCAAGCCGTAAGTTTTGTTTCGTGAGTATCCAAGGGTGGCCACCACTGAAGGGAAGAAGTTGGTCACAGCCCCGGCAATATAGATCTATTTTCGTCAGCCTCGTGCATCTTTGAGAATTGGCGGTTGGATCACAAACACAGTAGAGAGTCCCCATGAAAAACCATGTCTTGGGGTCTGTCACGGCGATCATGACGCCCTTTTGCACACTGGCCTCATCAGTATTATCTTGCTGGCCGTGGTCCTCCTCGAAACTCCACAGCAGGTACTCGTGCTCCAACTTGCTAAGCCCGGTAATCGACTTGAGTGAGTTTGGCAGGATGAATGCAAGAATAATAGCCAGACCAACGGTAGCCACACCTTCGATCAAGAACAGCTGTAGATAGAGATAAGCAAAGTGGTAGTTCAAATTTCCAGGACCAAGAAACCACTCACCCATCGCCAGCCCTCAAGGCCATGCTTCCCGTCCAGCTTCAGTATTGCGACAGCAAACAGACCGCCAAAGGCGTTACCAATCTGCGAGCCAGAATACAGAATGGCCGTTCTCATCGCAAATTGTTTCTTAGTGTAAAACAATGACATGTAGAAAAGCGCTCCAGGGAAGAATACTGCCTCTACAAATCCGAGGAAGAAACGAGACGCCATGAGACCAGACGGATTGTGGACGGCGGCGGTACAGGCAGAGAGAACGCCCCAGAGGGCCATTGAGAAACATATGTAGATACCAGGAAACCTAATTTTGCCAACTATGAGATTCGACGGGACTTGCATGAGGACTGGGGGTAAACCGATTAGCAATGAGGTAGCTTGATTTGAGTCAGAATAATTGACGCACTGTATCCCACAAACAAGATGCTGACGCAGGTTTGGTACTGCACATGTGTCATTTTTAGATCTTGCTCGATTTGTGCCAATTTGGCTGCAGCGATGTTCTGGCGATCCAGGTAGTTCATGATATACATCAATACCATACACGGCATGATCCGGGTATCGAGTTTCAAGATTGCTTGATGCCTGACCTTGGCGAATCCGGCTTCTGATAGATTGGCCAACGAGGGTGGCATCACTGATGGACCACCTGTTAGTTTACCTTTTTTGTCAACAGCATCTTCAAGCTCCTTCGGTAGGTTGTCTTCTTTAGTAGTCATGAGGATGATAGACTTCTAGATATTGAGTGCGCTCAAGGGGGTGTTCAGTTTATGGTCTGAGATTTATTGCTTATTTATATGTCAGTCACCCCCGCACCTCAAACTGGGGGAACGCCCTTGACAAGCCCATGCCTTCTTCCAGGAATGGTAATCCCGTGGGGAAGCGGGGGAGGTGGCAGGGATGTAGGGTGCATATCTGGACAAGATCTGATCTGAATTGAAAAAGATCACCTGTGTCTCGACCAGTCAAGTTCAGGATCACAGGAGATGGCATTTTTGCGGGGATGCCAAGGTCGGGGATGTGCCAACGAGGCGTGGGGGCACCCATCATCCACGAGTTATTCCCCATGAGAGCCTGATGAAACTCGGACATTGACCGGTCGGGGCGTCAAATTTCATAGGAGTCAGTCCTGATTTGCCCCCAACATTGACCAGATTCCAGTGCGTAGAGGATTTCGCTGAGACTGCATCAACTAGATCGTCCCCTGTTTATGGGTCCAACGAAGCCCGCGAGCTGGGAGAATATGATCTCCACAAATGAGAGCCGAAGTCAGTTCGGCGGCCAAACGACACGACTGATAGCGACCAAGCTGTGGCTGATGATAGATTCTTTGTTGCCGAAAGTGTGCTGTCGTGTCAATGCGATCTTTGTGCCACGGCATGGGGGCCAGCTGGAAGTTGTCCGAGGATAATCTTCCCCACGCTTTTGTCTATGGGTTGAACATACCATGCGCCGTGTGCCGTGTGGGGAGCTCCGGCTCTGGCCATTCAGGGCTGAAGTGTGGGGGTAACATTTTTTGGATTCCGGGGGTAATCAGATGTCTTTGTTTCGGCTGCTTTTTGTTTTTCCTTTCTTATCAATCTCCTGCAACTAACGGTGCCTGGTTCCGCATGAGGGGTAGTTCATCTACCTAGCTAGCCAAAATGGTGAAGATGGAAACGAGAACTCTGAGAATACATGCAAATGGGAGTAGAGGATGTATATTGAATTGGGGTCTGATACTCGTGTGAAGACGTACTGGTCAGCAGGACAGTCCGGACCAAGGCCCAAAATATATATTCACCACACTAATTACAAAACTAGTCCACATTGACATCGTTAAGAAAGGTCGCAGGAAAGAGTCGCAGCCCAGAGATCACAGCATAGAAAAATGTTTTCAAATATATTCAAGAGGTATCGAGGGTATCTGTACAGATCATGAATGCCCGAGCAAAGTCAGGCCAATTATAGCTTCCTAGCTGCCGCAATCAATCCAGTGAAGCAGCTGATGTTGCCTGGCCACCAGACCGCAGAGCGGAGGTAGCTCAAACTTTGGTTCTCGATGTATGAGTAGCAGATGTTAAAAGCGATCCGTGAAACGGTGTAGCAGAGACCGAATCTGTGTACGGTCTTGTTGGGAACTCCGGCGTACACTGCAATCAGAGCTGGTTTGATATTAGCACGAGTAGAAATATCGACGAAGCGAGCAGTTGCACATACTAGCTGCTGCAAACACAGGGAAATTCTCTATGGAATTTGCATGTGCTGCCTCTTGTCGCTTGAGTCTGTTGAGAGTGCTTCGCCTAACTTTGCCGGACTTCACCGCAGCCTCTCCCAGGGTTGCAAAGTCCTCCCTCGGTGCCACATTGTTGTCGATTCCCAAGCAAATTTTTTGTAAACGGGTGGTGCTCGTCCAGAAATATGCGATAACCTAATTGGCCAAGAGCAGGCTTGCCGCATGATTAGGGACCAGCCCTCCTGGGGCAGCGCGCAACCCCAGTGTTGTCAGCAATGACCTGTTGAATCAGCAAATGTTCGCCATAATGTCGACACAAAGAAAATTGACACGTACGACATAGCTGCTAGGTTGGATATTTACTTGCAAGCCCCTCCATATTTCTTCAGGGGGGCGGGTCGGGTTCCACTTTAGGTATCTGCATGTTCTTATCTGCCTGTACTTACCGAGACTATGGACAACGAGATCGTCGGGTCGTTCATGTGGGCTTGCGATTGGCCAAGGATGGTAAACTTAGTTTTGCCGTTCAACTCTCGCTTTTGGGAGAATAGCCTATGATGCAGGAGCTGGCTATGCACTCGATCGAAGCGATCCCGATCGTGCGACTCTAGCCCTATGGAGATATTATCCTATGACAACTATGACAATTAAGGGAGCGTATCAGCTCAATGACGACAAGAGGTGTTAGGTAGTACCAATAACCCTACAATAAATAGTGCAGGAGACGGACGGTTCATTTCCGATTTAATTGCACTGCCGCTGATGACAATCAAGCCAATTCCATGTTGCGGGACGCATAAATCCAGTCATCTGACTTGGTTAGAATATACAATTTAATGCGGCCGCCTAGATAAAGGGGTTTAATGTACGTGTTGCGGTAAAGTCAAACCATTTCCCTAGCATCAACTTGCTCAAGCTGACGCGAAGACCCCTTTGATGAGCTTCGCGCTACTGAATTGGCACAGTGGTCAAGGCCGTTCGGTCGCAAGATCATCATGACAGTATCAGACTCTTCACGGTAAATGCCGAGCTCCGACCCATCGGTGTGACTAGAGATGCAGGAAAAGCGATTGTTTACCGTAACGTGTTGAGATTGGCGGTTCACGACGCTGTTATTGGGTACGGGCTCATTTTCCGACAACAGCAAAATCTCCACAGGATGATCGTGGATGACTGGGACCTGTAGCCACTGATAGATAGCGTTCAATACCGGAATTGAGAGACCGTGGACGACAATCGAGAAGAAAACTAGCCAGTACACCACTAAATAGGCCTGCATTAGTACAGCTATGGTCAGAAATTGGACCAAGTCCTACCTGGGATCATCGCTGCCGTCAAATAATTCATTTCGGTATCACTTTCACCAGGATCTGGGAGCAGTCGGCGAGCATATTCGACATATGAAATTGCTCCAATGCCTTGGAAGCAATGGTGAGCCACGTATCTAAAGATTTTAACTAGGTTGCACTCACCGATGGGAGCAAAATACCCCATGAATAGAGCTTCCCGCCAGTTATTGCAAACTTTCGGCATTAGCCGATAGCCAAGCATTATGGCAGGGATTCGTCGGAATAATACTATCAGGATTCCCAAACTGACCAATCGCGTGACCGTAACTCCTGTGACATGGGGCATCTGGAGTTGATCCCATGGCATAACGGCCCCAAGAAAGACGAACGTGCCAAAATTCAGCACCGTCTCAATCGCGGAGTTGAACGAATCATGTCGTGCCTCGATTTCGGAATGGTACAAGCCATCCCAGTTCAGGGCACATCCAGCAATAAAACAAGCGAGGGTCTCGTCGGTTCCAAAGCAGCCACAAGTGCCAACGATGAATAGCTGGTTCAATTTGAAGTCAGCATTATTGATTGAATGACACAAAGATACGCTAGAAAGAAATCTCCACTCACTCCAAGTGCAACCGGAAATAATGCAAAGCTCTCCTTATCAATCCATCGTCTAGGGCGTATGTCAGTACGCCTGGCCACTCGCGCAAGACTAGCGAGGGACTTACTTGCTGGAAGCCAGATTCAAGCCCTTCCGACAGACAAATCCCACAAATAAACCGTACCCCGAGCCCATCATAATCATATACAAAACCCCTTCCACGGCCCAATGCGCTAATGCACGACCGACGTTACCACCAAAACGACCAGCATCGGTCTCTCCGATCCAATCGCGTCGCATTAGACCCGCTTCGTCGTTCGGAGTTTCGTCGTACCGTAGTAGTGCAATTGAGAGCAGAAGGAACGGAAATCCAAATCCATCATTTCCACCCGCTTCAGCCGAAATAAATTCTCGAAGGTGTCGCCGAACATACTTATCGGCAAACGGGCCTTTGGCGATCGCTTGGGACAAGACAGGATCTATGCAGATGACGCAAGAGCCAATTATACAGGCTGTCAACTATTAGGTTGCTTGTTAGCAGCCAAGCATTGAGGAACCGGTGATTGGGTCATACAAAGGATAAATGTGGAATCATCAACTTGATGCATGCTGATGTAGCTAGCCATTGTATTGCCATCAAGGGGAGTAGGCAAATTGTTAGCTCGACTAGCCTTCGACGTAGATATCTCTTGGGCAGCTCATAGCCGACTTTGATCATTTGAATGCCAAGGACAAGACGCGCCAATGCCTGTCATTGTTAGATTGCAGGTGGCAGGTTTGGTGGAGCTGTGGCACGACGTACATAGGCAATTCCTCCAACATCTTCTTCATCACCACTATTGGTCCATCGGCTCACGCTTATCAGATTTGTCGTTAATGGGCCCAGAAGGACACCGAAAATGAATGAAGGCACTGCTAATTATTAGAGGTGATCATGCGAACAGAGAGAAATACGTACATGCTTCCCCGAGGTACCATCTCTGCTTTATCTTCAAAGAGATGAACCCGAAGCCTAGTAGAAATATACCTAGCTGCTGTTAGTTTCTTGATCATGATTCAAGTCCAGGATGTTATTGCCAACCAGAGAATGTAATAGCGACGTTGAAACTGCTAATGTCAAGGATCGGATGAAGCATCCTGTCGCAAGTAGTGAGCTCAATGACACATGTGAAAATCCTTTTCCAATATCACAACTCTAAATCAGCTTCCGTTCGTTTTAAGAGGTAGGTAGGTGTTCAAATTGAAACATGGATGAGACTAGGCAGCTATTGACAATCCGCAACGGGATTGGAGCTTGGGCACGTCAGGTTAAAGATGAAAAAGCTGTTCGAATGCCAGTATGATTCAGCTTTGACTCGGAGGAATGCGCGCTCCTTGAGAACTCGCTGAGAAAGCTTTCAGCCATGATAAGATGGCGCGATATTTTGCCACAGATAACCCTTCCTGCAGGGGCCCTCATCTTCCGACGTATCATAGATAACAAAAAAAGCAACATTCAGCCCAGACTATTTAGCTCTTGCCGAGTCAGACACTTGATCGTTGGAGTGGATGAAATGTGTTTCGAGAACCTCCACGAATGTACGGTACAAGGAGAGATGATGCATAGACAAGTGTCCCAGGATGAATTCTGCATTGAGGCGATCACCGATATTCGAAAATTCCAGTACGTAGCGATTTTATCGCAGCGCAAGGTTCAAACTGGTAACAAACATGCAGCGCTGCAATAATTATTACGTCCCTGACCAGCCACCATAACCCTGTTTCTGGAGGATCAGCTACGCCTAAGAAGCTTGGTACAATATTCTCCACTCTTCCCTGCTCAGTACCCGAGAAACGAGCCTATCGCAGCATGGATAAGAGATAGCTATGCACGGATCGGCATTGCCGCCGTCCCCATCACCCCTATCAACAATCCAGGGCCAGAATGTTCTACGTACCTTGATCAAGGGATGATGGTGTGTCCCTGAATTGAATGCTTCGAATTTGTCACACGCATCATGCTCGAGACTTGGTAGATCTGGTGACAGTGCCAAGCCGATCCCAATGCTTTCTGGAAACATTGGCACCTAGACGAACTCCTTTCGACGCTGATTTCCTTTTAACAGGACAGTCTCTCTTTGGCTGGAGTCCAGGACTCGAGCACTGGAGCAATGCGGAAGGGTACAGCGCACTCAGGCTTTAGTCCAAGCTGCAATCCTGCTGGATACACGTCTGCCGACGTGACTATCGAGCATCTTGTAAGTAGAAGTGCGCAACCCATCCTGGTTGAACTCGAACCTTCCGACATGAGCCTGTTCGTCCACATCATGACCACAACGCAACTCCCTTGACAGCCGCAACTGAGTACCCTTCAAAAATGCGCTCGCAAAGCAGCGGAGGCTACATAATCAACGACGAGCACTGCAAACTCGTCATCGGGCAGTGATACCCCTTAGAGCCACAGCGGAGATCGATTGACAGAGAGAATAATTTGAACACAAGAGAAGCATGTTCTACTTTTACAACAACAGTTTCATGCCGGCCGGAGATAAGGGGGTACGTTGCTTATGCTCTTTTTGACCATGGAATGACTGGCAGGCAGTGTTCAATCATTTAGCTGGGCGCAGATAATGCACCATCCTCGGGGGAATAGCAACGGCATTTGGGGGAATGATTGTTGAATCAAATGAATGTCTAGGCTAGTCATTCGTGCGGTCGCCTACTACTCGCTCTTGGATTTAGGCGACGATATCAATGGTCATGCTGAGCCGCGTAGCATCCACGACCGCTAAGTACACGCTAATCAGACATTTAGGTGGGCGAGCGGTCGCGAATCCTTGCTGTTGGAAATCCCTTTCATCTTATTTTCTTTCATTTAATTCGCCAGCTTTAGGGTCGTCCACATGGGCCTTTTGGGGGCGGGCAGAATCGTAGCAGAAAACAGCGATCAGTAGTGATGGTAGCAGACTTTTATGGTGCCCCTGTACAGATGCGCCCCTGTATCTTGTCTCAGCTAACGCATTTAGGCGGTTTGGGTTTGGACCTAAGGAAAACCAATGGCGCTGGTTCAGAAATCCACCTATCGTGGCCAAGCGGGGGCCGCCCCCAACTTGGAGAGTCTTTGTTTAGTGTTCACTCGTTGGGGCTATGCGTGTTCCTCCTGCGATCAGCGCGCTAGTTGCCGCTGGGGTGTGCGGCACCTGCATTAGCTCGAGTTAGTCGGTGAACTGGCGTAAATTGCCGTGGCGCCTCAAGGGTTGGGTTGACCGACCGTACTAAATATGGGTCTCTAACATAAGTATTCCTTACCTTTCCTCGTGGTTCTTTGACCGTTGTGGTTCTCTGACTCTCAATATTTACAGTATATTCTGCTCGGATTTCACTCGAATTTATATACAGAGACAAACCGGACAGGTTCTTTGCATCAACAGCGGGATTCGACGAGGATCCCCATTCCTCAGTCACTCTCTTTCTATGTCGACCTCCGCAATAATCTACCCAGCGGATACGCACATTGGCACTGTCACATCTTTTATCCCGCTAACAACAACATGGACGGCGCCATCAGGATGCTATACCAAATACCGTTTGGATGGGCCGAGCTTAATGGCGTTTGATCCCGCGTACGGGCTCGACGTGGAAACTGGCCTAGTTTGTGCACCACCGGCCATGACAACATGGTGGGAACAAGGGCTTCTAGGTGGTGGAGGTGGTGGTGACTCGTACAGGACACGGATTAGCATCGGACCTATATCATGCCCCAAAGATTGGCCCCTGCTTGCCTCTTCTACAAAGGATTCGTCCAGTGTTTTAAGTCTGTGCTGTCCATCGTAAGTCGACTTTGGTTTTGTTTTTGACCTCGCAATCTTGAGCAGAAGCTCTGACTAAAATCAACTGTAGGGGATTCTACCTTGCAGATGCTGTACCCGGTTCTGTTGGCGGAAACTGCCTGTCAGATGTTTCCTCAGGCATGGTTCTAACTTACGGATCCACTGCATCTGGTGACTCGACCTCGTGGGCCATGGCTACAACAACCCTGACCGCTAGCTCAACTGTCGGTGCGATTGGCATTCAGGGTTGGAACATTAAATACCAAACAACTGCTACCTCTACTTCTACGACTTCGACAACCACACAATCTTCGTCAACAACCCCAACCACGTCAACAACAGCATCGGCGGCTTCCCAAAATCTTCCTACCTCCAGCTCAAGCTCTGGCAGTGGCCTCACTATCGGAGCAAAAACGGGAATTGGTGTCGGAGTCGGCGTGGGTGCGATAGGTGTAATCGCACTGCTTGCTGCCTTTTACCTCTTCCGCAAGCGGAATCAGGGAACAGAACCGGAGCTTGCGCAGAGTTTGTATCCTCACTACTCGCAGCCACCGTCTATGTCCGTACCCCCGGCAGAGTACTACCAGCCACAATATCCTGCTGAGTTGAATGCGATTAAGCTACGTCCGGGCGAAGGCGGCAATCCACCGGCCGAGCTGCCATCAAGGAATTGGGCTTCAAGAAGTGGTGTGTCATGAAAGTGATAAATTAATGTCTACGAACCTACAATAAGCGAGTACTAATTCGATTGTTAATCTTGGGGAGGATCCCTCGTTGTCCTAATTAACCTGTACGCAATAATGAAGGGGTTAACTTTGCTAATGCCCCTCTATCCTAATTCTAACGAAGCCTTTACGTGAGTGAACATAAATAATGATGAGTAAAGAATATCTTGTATAGTTACCTACTCTCACCAAGGTGGAGGGAGGATCTTTGGCGCTTGCGAGCCGCCCGGCCCGGCCCGGGGCAAAGACATTTTTGTCCATGGAGCCAAGTTTTAACAGCCAGCTCGAAGGACTGGGTCCCCAATCCATTCCTAAAGTCAATTCTACAGCCTCTTATAAATTCTTTAGGGTTTGCTTCCTCCAGTGCGGATTTACTATCCCAAGCGACTGCAAGATTTGCGAATTCAGCTAGAGTGACGGGGTTGTTCAGGATTTCAAGCGCAGGAATCGACAGGGGCTGTTGGGTACTTGGTCACAACAGCGATTCTATGACGCGATGAAGTGGACTAGCCTGTTTTAGTTTGGTGAGGAGGGGAGCGGTCAACAAGGGTGATAGCAGATTCTGGTGTTGCCTCCATATGTAGGCGTACATGCTCACTGGAGGGTGAGCTACTTTGTTTCCGAACACACTCGCACCATAGAAAGAAGACATACGCGCATTCTATATATTTCTGGGGCTCGAGAATCGCATACAGCGTGCTTCATCAGACTCGAGGCCTCCGGCGCTATGGATTAGTTTCACTTAGCGCTTTTTCGTTCCTTTAGCGCTGCATCAGGTTGGGGGCCGAGGGAGCGCAGGGTAAACTAGTCAAATCTACTCCACCCCTCCCCTTCCCTCCCCTGTCTCTCCCCCAATCCCTCCAAGCCTCGTCCCCCATATGAAAGGCTATGGTCCAAATGGTGTCTTTTTCTGTAGGGACGCTCTGAGCATCCACTGCGACCATCAGTTCATGATGCTATCTGCACAGCAATTCAAGCAATCCAAGCAATTCAAGCGTCCGCCCAATTCGACGTCCTCTAAGGTTGCCCGATGGCGACCGCTGTTTAGTCGAAACAGAATTATCCAAGCACTCTTTGGTGGCGCCTTAGCATTCTTGGCGGGGAATTTCGCGGTTCATTCGAATGTTGAGACTGCTCTGGACTTCCTCAGTCCCGTTTACAAAGACAGCTATTGGGATGGCCACCGAGAGGAGGTCAAAGACGCGTTCGTGACCAGTTGGGATGCATACGCCAAATATGCTTGGGGTAAGTCGATAGAATCGCTTGTGTTCACATCTCTATTTCCCATCGGCCCGTATAACGATCCGTCTCGATTATTGAACGCCTCACTTCTATATCAATGTTGCTGAAATAGCACGAAATTATTTTCAGGAAAGGATGTTTTCCACCCTGTCTCCAAGACTGCCTACCAAATGAGCCCCAGTGGTCTCGGGTGGATCATCGTCGACAGCCTGGATACATTGATGATCATGAATCTTACGACACAGCTCTCTGATGCTCGAAAATGGCTGAATCGGGGCTTGACGTACGACCAAGACCAAGACGTCAACACGTTCGAGACGACCATTCGCATGCTAGGCGGACTTTTATCTGCCCATTACCTTTCTACTCAGCTTCCAGACGTATCCTCTCGTCGGGACTATATTTACCTAACTAAAGCAGTTGATCTGGCCGACCGTCTTCTCAGTGCCTATGAGTCCCGCTCTGGGATACCATATGCGAGTGTCAACCTTCACAAACGCCAGGGAATTCCGTCTCATGCAGACGGCGGCGCTTCATCCACCGCGGAAGCCACCACCCTTCAACTAGAGATGAAATACCTGGCCCACCTGACGGGTAAAGAGATATACTGGCGCAAGGCTGAGAATGTCATGAAGGTGATCGATGATCATCGCATGCAGAACGGTCTGTTGCCAATTTATGTACACCCGCAATCTGGGAGATTCCCGTATCGGGAGATTCGTCTTGGAAGCCGTGGTGATTCCTATTATGGTAAGCATACTAGTACTCTTATGTTTGTGTAGTCTGAGTCTGATTAATTACAGAATATCTAATTAAACAATTCCTGCAAAGCTCCGGTCAGGAGCCTATCTACAGTGAGATGTGGGAAGAGGCTCTGGCAGGTATCCAAAAACACCTCGTTACCACTACCAAGCACTCTAATCTCCGTTTCATCGCCGAATTACCCCAAGGAATTGGTGGGAAGTTGTCCCCAAAAATGGACCATCTCGTTTGTTTCTTACCAGGCTCAATTGCAATCGGTGCGACTGAAGGGCGAACAGAAGCCGAGGCACGCAAGCTGCCTAGCTGGGATGCTCAAAAGGAAGAGCAGATGGAGCTAGCAAGGGAACTCATGAAAACCTGCTGGGCTATGTATGCAGTGACTGAGTCAGGTCTCTCGCCCGAAATTGCTTGGTTTGAAACAGAGTCTGGTGACCTCGAGCCAAATCCTGGATTGCGGCCTCGGTCTCGTAGTAGCAATGATCCAAAGTCCTGGAAAAAAGACTTCATCATCAAGCCTCCTGATGCACACAATTTGCAGCGTCCGGAAACCGTGGAGAGTCTTTTCTTGATGTTTCGTGTTACTAACGACCCTCTCTATCGGAAGTGGGGATGGGAGATGTTTAAGGCATTCCAGAAACACACGATCGTTGCTGACGGGGAGGGATACACGTCTTTGAATGATGTGACCAAAGTTCCGCCCCCGCAGCGTGATAACATGGAGAGCTTTTGGCTGGTGAGAACCTAACCTTCCATTTCTTTTCATTCTCTTTGCACTTGGTTGTACCTGACTAATATTCATTCTTATTTCGAAGGCCGAAACCTTGAAGTACTTTTACCTGCTATTCTCCCCGTCCGTGTACATTCCACTCACAGAGGTTGTTTTCAACACCGAGGCCCATGTGCTGCCTCGTTTTAAAACAACCAAATTCGTGACAGGATGGACGCGTAAAGAACGAGCATGACGTTTGGTTAGATTGCGCTGATATTTCATTGTTAACATGGGTTATCCCAAGTGGCTTTAACTTGGATATTCTGAGAGCATTGATACCTGCTCCCTCCCCACCTGAATTCCAGGTATCTATTTATCAAAGGTTCGTGGGTGAGGGGATGTGAAGCGGGAGCCTCGCTGGCCAAGAAACCTAGGCTTATGAGGCAGATTTGATGCCTCTCGATCTACTATATGGAGTACGTCGGTAGACACGCTGCTCGCGCATCGAATTCGCAGTTGACGAAGAACGGGAAGAGGACCATAGTCACAAATGAGCATGTTGATGCATGGAGGACCGGTGGTTCTCTTAGTTCAATATAGAGATACGGGTCAGTGGCCACGTCGCATACCCAAAATAGAAAGATCATTTTTGGGAAAGTGGAGATTATATATGTACAAAGATTATTTCTTCCACCAAGGCAAGCCATTCCTGAATAACCAAGGACATTTCTTCATCAGATTTGCGGCAGATCTGTAAAAAGGTTGTTGTCCCAGAGCTCAGCTCCTCCGGTATCCAGACCGTCGAACCAACCACCCAAATCAAGAGGCTGCATCGGTTAGCGTTAATACCCCCAATCAAAATCAGAATGTAGAACTTACAGCAAAATCACCAAAGTCCGCGGACAGTAAAGAAGGAAAATCAAAATCAATGGAAGACACAGAGAGAGGAGTGGTCTCCATGGGACCATCCAGAGGAATGGCAGGCTGATAATTCCACATAAGTAAAGATTCTTCATAAGAAGAAGAGAATGGGAATCTCACCTGTGGAGGCGGTCGGTCCGCACTCGCCAACGCCTCGTTAAACGGTAGGCCGCCCACAATACCCCGGCCAACCCGAACAGCTCGTTTGGATGCTGCGGCGATCATACAAAGGGGATCCTCTCCCTTGATGCGAGACTTGACAGAGGCCAGGATTAGGCTCAAGAAGAAGTATGGCTTGGAACCTTTTCCGGTCCCGGACCCGACTCTTCGTCCAAAGTCATCTAGGCTGCGTTCGACTGCTTGTAGCATCACGTTTTGCTGTGATTGTACCATGCTGAGGAGCACGCTCGTGTTCATTCCTTCCATCGCTGGGCCAGATGCTTGACTCATTTCTTGGGCTTGTAGAGATAACTCTACACAAACCGTTATAGCCGCATGGAAGGTTTCGTCGCAGAACATACCACTTCCGAGCTGTGTTATATGGGGGTAGAGTATCGGGTCGGTAGGGTTAGGAAGCTCCATCTGAGATAGAATCTCCAATGACTTTTCCAGGCAGACCTTTCGCGAGTAAGAGCATTTCGGTAGTCGTACAACGCTCAGACAGAAAGGGCGGTGGAGGGCAAGTAAAAACTTGCGCATTATGAACAAATGTAGAGATTGGGCAAATCGGTTTCGAGCCGCGTCGGAAGGATTCATTCCAGATGCATTGTCCTCGAATAAATCAGAAGCGGATTTCATAGATCGGCACAGGTCTTCACTCATTCGCAGCGTCTCGTCGTATGTTAAGTCGAACCGTAAGGTATTAATCTTCTTTACGATGCGGTATCGGAGCTCCAGTGTCTTTGAAAGCAAACATTGGTAGAAATTTCGCGTGCATCTTGCGGTGCTCAAGGGAGCTGGATTATTCTCCATTTTCTCGTATAATTCGGAGTCATCCCAGTTGGATGGGGCATCGCAATCACACTCGTCCAAGTCCACTGATGGAGGAACGCCGCGATCAAGAGACATCTTCAGATCAATCTCCACAATCGTTGTCCAGAGCCGACGTCGAAGCTCTGACCAAAATGGCGTGGTGGCTTTACGAAAGCAGGAAGGGTTACGGTGCAGTCCCATCGTCATCGCAGATCGAATGAGGGAGCCCGAAGAAGCCCAAGCAACGTCGCCATCGCTAGCAACAGCAAGTCGAGCAACGAGGAGAAGGGTCTGCGTCTGGATCACCTTGAAGTTAATATCAGGGCTTACAAAAGTGCAAGAAATGTAGGACTGGACTGCCATGATCCACTTCATTGCAGGCTTTTGATAAGTGTCCCGTTCGTCGCGCTCTGGAGAGTTCGAATAGAATCGGCTACCTGCTGCCATGACTGCCAATAGCTGCGCAACAAATGCCATGTCTGGTGACTGGGGATCAGACCAGTAGTCGGCATATTGTTTCAGGAAACTCGGAACATGCAGAATTCGATAAGTGGTCTCGAAGGTGTCCAGATACAGCTGGAGAAGTCGGTCGGCAACAGTTCGTGATGGCACCATCTTGTCGAGTTCGAAAGCTTGCTCTCGAAAAGCTCTCTGGTGCTCCTGACTTTCACGCGACCAAATCTCACACTTGAACTTTTTCATGTCGCTATACTCTTTGTCCTTGACGTCCTTGCGGCTTCGCCGCATAAATGTGCCAATATCTTGGAACTAAAGATTTTGTTAGTAATTTTTCAAATAAATCAATGTGTTTCGAGGGGGTAAACCAACAAATGATACTGTTGTGCTGTAGTGGCTGCGACCGAAATACCTAGTCTTGCCTTTCTTGCCTCGAAAATTGCATTCAGGCAGGAACCGTACCCTATCATCGACACCGGCGCCTTCGACGCTATTTTGAGAAGTGGTCACCTCCGAGAAGGCATCGTAAATAGAAGTCTCCGGGGTTTGCAGGGTAGCACCAGGCTTTGCCAATGCACGCTCTAACGTACGTAGTCGCTGACGGAGCTCATAGATCTCATCCGGATGGCTCCGCTTAGACACACGATTTGAAGTAGTCTTGGGGCCCATTCTGGAGTCGAATACAAACATGCCACCTGTGGTTCCTGATTGCTCGTCTTGACCGCTAGGTAGTCGCATGCGGGAAATGGGGGGCGACATGCGCTGGGCGGACCCCGATGCCTCTCCTGGCTGTGCGCCAACAAAGACACAGGAGTCCGCCGTCTTTGATCGGACACATTGTCCGCATGGAAGTGAGCGATCGCACTTTAGCTTGCGTCGTCGGCATTCAGTACACGACAGCGGGGGTCGACGCCGCCTCTGAATGACTCTCCCCGAGTCGGTGGCCTCATCTTGAGGCAGGGAATCTTGATAATCGTCCATTGCAGTAGTTTTCGAGTTTCAAAAGGAAATTCGGGTCTCAAGAGAAACGAAATAACATTAATTCGGTGTTAGAGTGCGTAGTTATGCTTTTCCTCGCGTACAGCCTTGCTGACGCAATCTCGCAGTAGAGACCGTTCTAGGTCGACACTGTCACAAATGACACTGTAATGATCCAGTTCCTGCAAGCCGAGATATTTGAGAGAACAGCATTTAGCAGCGGAGATCGTATGAAGATGTGCTGTGCTGTTGAGGGCGAAAGTTCGACTTTCTATGCAACGCGTAATGGAGTTAACACAAGATGAGAAGTTGTCCGGGCTCGGAGTTACTTCTTTAGGCATTAATGCCAAGCCCCGAAGCGGTGGATGCCTGATTGATAAGCCTTTTGACGTCGGATAAAAACAGCCTGAGTCACAACAAAATCTTCGTAAAAGTGGGGTGTTGATGATGGAAGTGGACTGTTCCCCTGCATGTGGGCTTTATCTGATTTCGCCAGCCTGCTTCATTCGCTCGATTGAAGCATGAGCGTGTGGATTAGTAGCAGAGTCCAGCCATCATCTGCCGGGACTCTGGTAAGGGTCGCCTGAACGGGAAGACTAAAGAATAGGCGCTTTAGGGCCGTGGTGACTTCTATCCGGATAACAAACGGGCCTTCCGTAAGGACCGTGATGCTGATTCTCGGGCCTCTGGCGTCATGAATAGGTTCCAAACTAGAATTCTTTCCATCCCAAAATACTCGAATGGCCCAGTGGAGGCCACAGAGCAGTCCTGCGGACCAGAAGATGCTTGCCTGCTCGAGTGGTCTCTCGTGCACGATACCCTACGAAGTTTGTCGTTGATATAATCTACGTGCGTTAGCTCTACTACTTGTAGAAGGGGTTGTGTTGAAGGTGAACTGTGAAGTGCAAAGTATCAAAGGTGGTATCCAAGAAGACACATGAAATTGATCGCAAAGAGCTGAATACATGTGTGTTAAATGAGTGACCTTAATTATCTTGACCAGCCGATTCTGGGTATTCATAGGGTGGCAGAATCAATTCTTGCTGACTGTTCCACGTTCGTTGGTTGTCAGTGCCCCTTTCCTCAAATTAGGGCGTAGTTCCGTAACAAGAAGCTGCTTAGATGGTAGTCAAGACAGCAATGTCATACTCCTTCAGCTCGAATGAGAACACACCACCCTTCTTTGCCGCTAGCTCGGTGACGGTTTCCTTGACTACATTCGGTCCTCCAGCAACATTGTAGGAAAGTCCACTTGGTGCATTCAGGACAGTAAGTTTCGCCTTGGCACCCTGTTTCAGACCCTCAAAATCGATGTTGAATGGCACAGGGACAGTGGTATTGTAAATGGCGGCCTTGAAGGTATATTCAGTCGTCCCGGAGTTGACACCTGCGACATAGAAGGCAGGTCCAAATCCTGAATCAGAAGTCATGGGTGCGGTGTGGGTATAGCGATGGGAAGAGAGCAGCTGCTTGCGTGATTAGTGGTCCATCTGCTATTTGATGTTGATTTGGCTTTTCAAAATTTTACATACTTGGATAGCATGGTAGCTGGTCGAGAAAGCAACATGATCTGGATCTGCATTGAAGGAGACGAGATCAGGCTACAATGCAGGTTAGTGTTACGTGTCGAATCCAGTCAGCGGTAATCGAGATATTCAATAGACTTACACCCCACTGGAAGTTATTCAAATTCTGGAAGCCTGGCGCATAACTTGCACCGATGACGATATCACCGTTCCTCTCGGCACCCAGGGTATAAATTGCTTCACCCACGGCGCCAATCCAGATTGGATATTGCAATCTTGGCTCGGCACCACTCCAGTCAACTGGTGTTGATGGGTCAGCCTTGTTAGCCTGTATAGTTGCATATTCACCCAGTAAGATGGGATGCGAACGGTTTGCGTTATCGAAGAGACCGAACTGGGCGGCATAAATGTTGGGTCTGGCGTACTCATGGTAATCGGTTCCGCTGTGGCCAGAAATAGCGGTAAGGTCACCGGTGGATGAGATGAGTTTGATATCTGGGTAAGCAGCATGAATTGCGTCGTAGAAAGCCCTAAAGCGGTAGCTTGTATAAGAGGTGGGATCAGAAAGATTATCCTCGTTGCCAATCTATGCCGTGATATATCAGTTTATCTGCCCCCTTGCGTTTCTTGAAGCTAGCAATGGAACCAGAAGGAACCTACTTCGACGTAATTGATCTTCCATGGCTTTGGATACCCAAGAGATGCTCTCAAGGCTCCATACTCTGTTGATACGTCACCCATGATGAACTCCAATTCGTTCAATGCATCTTGAACATAGATTCCAATATCTGCCTCGGGAATCACATCAGGATTGGCGTTGTTATACCCGTTCAAGTACACTCCTGACCAGACAGCAAGAACTGGCTCGACTTCAAGGTCTTCGCACCACTATCAACTTGTAAGCTAGTTTCAACGCTGGTCAAGGGAAGCGCGTACTTGGAGATATTCAATAAGACCAAGTCCATCGGTATTCTCATAGCCCCATGTTCCTGGGCGTCCAGGTCGTTGGGTCAAGGGACCAATGGTCTCATTCCATTTCCAACGATAGTTAAAGGTATCTCCTTCTCTAATGAATGATTAGCCAAACAACAGACCTTCCAGAACGTCCAAAGGATGTTAACTCACATGTTGTTTCCACCTGGGATTCTAAAATAGCTTGGCTTAAGTCCCTTCAGGCCGTTCATCAGATCGGGGCGGTTTCCGTTTGGTCTGTCCCTATACGTTGGGGGGAACAGACTAATCAAATTAAAATTGACTGAGCCTTGTCCTGTGTGGAACTCAAGAACAAAGGTGTTATTCGTATCAGGAGCAGCGACCTGGGCATTGAGTTGAAACTTGTGCTCCACCCATTTGCCTTGGTGGCATTCTGACTTGATGTCCACGCTTGCCCAGACATGGGATGTGGTAGCTGACTGCAGCTTCGCAGTGAATTGCCCCTTATATGAGCCCAGGGCCCAGAAGCTACCCTTGTAAGTCTGTGGCTTCACACTGATTCCCCACCAGCCGGGATTTTGCAGACCAATTACTCCTCCCGCTTTTGAGCCAGCTCCTTGGGCCACGTTCACAGATGTTGGAAGAGCTGAGGAGAGTGGCACAGTATTATTTTGGAGGGACAATTTGGCATTTCCAACTGCTTCCCATGGTGCAAGAGTGGATGGAAATTCAGTACTACCTTGGAATGCGCGATTTTGGATCAGCTCTGCGTAGATACCACCGTCGCCTGAGTGATTGATGTCCTCGAACATAATTCCGTACATGAGCGGAGACGAAGCATTTCCTCCATGTTTGGCAACCGAGAGATTCACAGCGTGGCCAACTCCGGCAAGGAGAGGAAATATCTTGAGGAGACTGCTGCCCAACATGCTGATGGCTCTTCAGAGGTAATTCAACCACTGTAAGCTGCTTACTGGAAGCTTGCTTACCATGTGTACCAACCTTACATTTATAGCTTTTTTCAAAACTTTGGGGCTTTCGACGAACGTTTACCCTTGACCCAAGTCGTAGAGGACAGGCATGTCATTTATCCGACATTTAATTTCTCACCTTAAATGAGCAATCTAATGGTGCCAGCGGTTAAATACATAGATAGATTCGTTAAGGCTAAATCGTAGTCCAAGGACTAGCGGTAATCCGTGCCCTTTGGCTTACCCACCACTTGCGCTTGTGGGCACCCCACAATTCCCCGTCTCTTCTTGAACATTAGGCTACAACTAGCTATTTTAACCATCAACATACTTGAATATACCAGTTTTGAAGAATCTCGCTTGGGAGAGGTCTGTAAAGTAACTATGGCCCAAAGAAGCAAAATACCGAGAAGATTGCACGTGAATTCGGCGTGTCTCCCACTCCCGAAAGATCGTGACAAGAAGACTAAATCGCCTACTACACCACCGAAGCCGCTGCGGAAGGCCCTTCTGCCGTAGTATGAGAAAACCTTGACTGATTGAATACTTTAAAGGCACAGCTGGAGTCTGATACCTATTGCAGGGGTGACACAGGCCGCAAGATGTGGGTGTCCACCCAGAGCATCTAAATCTAGCCCCAGCCAAGCAGAAGACTAACGAACTCAAGCAAATCCAAGCGGAACGTGTGGGGTTTCTTCGGCATTAGTACAACCGACTTAGAATTTCTTCATCATATCCCTGCAGGTCTACCATATATGCCCAATGAATGTGGCTTCCAACCTAGTCAAGGGTGATCAAGAAGGGTGCGTTATTAGGACCAGCTTACTGACAGGAGGAGAAAATAGAGTGGTGGAATCCTAAAGAGGTACCTACATATTCAGACTAATCGCCAAGGAGCCCAAGTCCTACGAGCAGTTCTATGGGGTATCCAGAGTCCTGACGAAGTCAGGGGACTCGGCCGCCAGCTTGGCAGTCATCACGTGACCTGGTTGAGCTGGCAGCTCCTACATCCGCATAAGAGCCTCAACGTCGCTAATACACAAAGTGGGAGGTAAAACGCTTGGTCAAGATGGTATACTGAAGACTCGCGATAAAAATCGGATAAGTTGCACCAGGAAGGTGAAAGGGACATCCGCAGAGGTAAGGAAGCTAGCAAAGCTTGAAAAGGTGCATGGCAACAAACCCATACGAAGATCCGAAGAGGATATACCTAGGAAGATTGATAGCAAGATAGAAATCAGAGGGAAGTGAGAGTCTTTTTTACGATAATCATTTAGCTAGTTTCGGAGATTTGTGATAGATGGGAAGTTGTCGCGTACTCACAAGCGGAAGCGGCCAGTAGGCCACCAAATGGTACGGATAGGTGGTCTGTCTTGGGAATCGGTTGTTTATACAGCCATGTGATAGGAAGGGTTCCCGCGCAGTCCTTCAGTATTCAGAATTCTTGACTTGAATCAGTGTGGCGGTTAAATGCATAAGAAAATTTGGCCACGGCTAAATAGAGACACAGGAAGTGCGGAGTACGCTCAAAGCTTAAAGAAATTGGAAGCTGGGGAAATCCCGTACCCCTTGT